GGTATCTGAGCCATATGGTAACGTAGGCTTACTATTCCTTGGTCATCTGTGATCAAAATGTCTTCTTGGTCGGCATTATTAACCCATTATCATCACCCAAAACAATAACACTTCGTGCGAAATCATACCTATAGGGATTTCTGTAACCACACAATACATGCCAAGCAAGTATCCATGCATGACCATTGGCAACAAAAAATGACAAATATACGGCTAGAATTATTCAATCAGACGACAAGTATTATCGGAGGATTTCGATATTATCTAGAGACGGTATGAGATATTTTTTACGACTATTGTGGTTGGGGCTTGATACAGGAAGTATAAATGGCATCGCGTTTCATCATTTTCGTAACATACGCTTTGAATCAAGTGAATAAATTGTTTTTGCACCGCCTCACACGACCGGAAGTCTTTAAGAATCACCACGGGAATTGTGGGGTGCTCTCTAGAGAGCACCAAAGTGTCGTGGTGAAGTTTGATGAATGCTCGGTCATTACCAAGTCTGCAAGAATGCAGCTGCATTGACAAAAAAAAAATGAAAATCAGTTAATATGATATTTTTTATTCATCATAACTAACTCTTGTGACTAATATTCCATAAATTATATAGTCTTCTTCTCCACAAGTAAATTATCTTTCAAATGACACAGCCATTTTTGCTCATAATTTAGGGGGGATACTTCTTTTACCACCCCCACCTTGACCAAAGTTCGATTCCCCCCCCCCCTCTCTCTCTCTCTCTCTCTCTCCTCTCTCTCTCTCTCTCTCTCTCTCTCTCTCTCTCTCTCTTTCTTCTCTCTCTCTATCTCTCTCACCCATTTATTTATATCTATATATTCGCCACGTAGCTATCCATCTTTCCTCCCCATCGACTGTACGTCTCCCCCCCCCCCCCCCCCCTCCTTCATTCTCTCTCTCTCTCTCTGTATATATATTTACTGTATATCTCTAACTTTCTATTTCTCTCTCTCTCTGTCTTACATCTGTCTGTCCATTTGCCTGTCACCAGGACATTTACATGTGACAACCAGACCACCACAGATGTCCATCTTCCCAAAGCCCCACGCCAATTGGTCAACCCCGCTTGATTGACAGAATCGTGATTTGGAATTCGAATTAGGATTAACCTAATCCCGGTAACGAGAGAGATCGAATTATTCGGGATCTTGTGAACTCATTCCGTGACTCCAGGCTGAGACATGTTGGAGAGGTCAACCAGTTAATAAAACAAATTATACAATTTTTTACATCTTACTTTACAAATCTCTCTAAATTTGATTGATGAATCGTGTTTTTAGCAAGTGCAATTATGGCATATTTTCTTATCCCTGTCATTTAGTGTGCTCTAGGTATTCAATCACGTCAGCAGTTTTTAAATGTGTTTTGGATTTGCCCTGTTTAGAGACACAAACAGCTTCCAAAAGTAATCATGGCCGCTGATACAGCACTCAATATTTCAAAACTGGATGAACAACAACAGAACGAAAAGATATCCACAAAAAATACATTTCCCCGCCCACTTTCCTTAAATTTGTAGAGGTATTGTGGTATAGTTGATAAGTCACCGGACTATAGAAAATGAATTCTGGGTTCGAATCCAAGCCCGACATTAACGTCCTTTTGCAATACAATAATCTACTTTTGCTACTCTGTACCCACTTGTAAATTAATGTCTCATTATAAATACTTTGGCTAAGCGCAATGAACGTCACTGTGTGATGGATATGAGCGCTGTATAATTTTTGAAGCTGTTTATGTCAAATGTTATTATGCAGTATATCTTGTTGATGATAATGTCATGATAGAGGCTAATAAGGTGAAGTGAGGCATACTAGTAAATTGATTTAAAACTAATACTTCTTTTTAGGATAATGAAATGCATACTCTTTCAATCTTTAGACCGAATTGCGTTGTATGACGAAAAAGAAACAAAACTGACTGGGAGGGATGGTCGATAAAGAGTACCTAGTTGTCAAGCTCAAAGGTTGCTGGTTTCAAACAAATTTGTGCTAGGATCGCACCAGAGCCAAACAATAAATTTGCCTTGCTCCAGCCCGTTGCTTGAACGAATTCGCGGCAAACCTCATGCGCAGGTTCATTTGTTGTTTGGAATTCGGTACTCAGTTGCCCAAGTTCCCCATCCTATACCTGTTTACTAATTGTATGCATATCTTTTTAACTAAAGTCTCTCTTGACGTCTGAAACGCTGTTCAGAAACTTGCCGTACATAGCACCAACGAATATGCAAAGCGAAGTTCATATTCTGCATGGCAGGTAAATCGAATAATTAGTTACCAAGGGTTCGGAAGAGAAATATGCATAAATTGAAAAACAGAGGTAAACAAGTCTATTCAGCGTCTTGCTGATACGATTCACCACCGAATGTCAGGAATTAGAGTTCCGGGTCAACCCTTGGCAGATAAAGAGATGGGAGGGGGTGAGTCAAGACCAGGTCACGTGACAAATGAGGATTTACCTCCACCAGACGGTGCTGGGCAGGTGTATGAAATCATCGACAGGTGAACGGTAAACACCAGGACCATACATGCAGAGAGGCATCAGGCAAGAGTGGATGACGAGGGCGGAAGGGAGTTGAGGCTACACCCTAGGAAATGCACTCCATTCGCTAAAAAGCCATTTTCGTAATGTAATCGTATTTAACGCATACGTCTTTGTGAAGTGCCTCGATGCGAATGATCGCGTATAAAATTATAAACTTCCATTAATACTCATAACAAGAATATCAATTATGTTTATTGCGCTCTCGATCTTTTATGATGATCTTACCCGGATAAATTTGTTTACTTCTTTTGTGAACTTCATTTTCTTGTTTTCATCAAAACTGTTATAAGCTAAAAGTGCACACGAATTAGCAATGACATACGTAATGTGCATGGGTTTAGTCACTGTGGGGAAACTGTAATCGAGGATGTGTGTGTGTGTGGGGGGGGGGGGGGGGGGTGGCACCGGTCCTACTCGATCGGTGGAGAAATGTGATCTAGATTTAATATGGAGGGTGAAAAGGGGGCCTTATCGTTCCCCATTCCTTTTCATTTTCGCTCTTGCGTCCCCTTCCCCAAACCCTTCCGCCTCTCGATTGGGGGCTTATCCAATGGCTCGCCCCCCCCCCCCCCCCCTCTCCCCCAGCTCTCCTCCCCCGGTATGGCTACGCCAATGTTAACAAGTAAATGCAACTGCTGGGATTGTTAATCTCCAGGGATGCCTATCCAAAGTGCGGCGAACATGAAGGTGGGTTGAAATCGAGCATTCGTGATATGATTGAATGCATAATCACGATCTACTTCCCGATGACTCCAAAATGTGATATGAACCGACAACTGGTAAATATAGACCCGACAGATCTTAGATCTATTAAAATCTTCATACCAAGCATCTGTAAAGCCGTCCAGATGATCCAATATAGAGTGCAGCATTATGTAGGTACCCTAATCGACGGGATTGAATAGCGCCATCAATGTTCTCGAAATCAAAACCAAAATTTGACCAAGTTCACTTCTTGTGGAAATCAAATTTTGTGCATTTATACGAACTAACCACTAATTTATCAAGGCAAGAGTGTTTCAAATGCCTGCGAACCATTAGAAAGTGATCGGATTCATGAATCTTAGCAGACAAATAGAGTGTTTTACTTTGAAAAACCTTGGTCTCTCTCTCGGGATCCATTCATGTGCATACAATCTGAATAGTTAGTACACGTAGGGTTTTATTCCCCAAGGATTCGAGGCAAACAAGGCCACGACAAAGGTTCATGAAGAGTTTCTTACAATAGAAAATAAAAAAATCTTCATTCTTTAGAACGCAGTGTAGCCTACACCCAAGAAATAGTTAGTTAAGACATATAGTTTGAAAAAAATGTTTAACGTGTTTTGTTCACTCCTGTGCCTTTGCCGAGCCCCAGTATATGATTGGTAGTCCATTAATACCTTACAATGCAGAGGCATGAGCAACCAAAACATGGGGCCGCCTCCCACATCAGCCCCCCCCCCCCCCCACCACACACACACATTCCCCTCCCATCCTTGTTTATTGGCGAAAGGGCCCCTTGCATATGATGGTAATGGTAATCTTTCTCTCTCCCTCTCTCTCTCTCTCTCTCTCTCTCTCTCTCTCCATCATCCCTTCCCCTCTCTCTCTCTTTCGACTGGAATTTTTTTTTGTTATTGGTAAAAATAACCAAAAATATATTCCCCACTTTAAGTTTCAACACAAGATGGCTTAATTAGGAGAAAGAACACCCACGGACATGAAATCTCTGGATGATTGATATACCCCTGGCTCAGTGATGAAAGATGACTAGAATGTTCTAATGTATTATCACATGTGTTCTGAGAAATCATGCATTCGATCATAGAGTTACCAGCTAGTAACTCCACGATTCGATCAAGTAAGCATGCACAAATTACCCATTGTATAATACAGATTATAGGATCTTGGGACTAGAACATTTTTTTCAACACAGCCTACTTTTCAACAACTTACACGACTTGAAATAAATTTTAGAATGAACAATCAACTATAACATGACAGCAACACAAGACTCACACATAACTCTAAGGTAAGGCCCCGAAATTGCAGTCCCCCTCCCCCCAATTTGTTTAGAAATGTTCACAGTGACCTATTGCAAGCATAGCCAAATAATGCTACCCAAAAATGTAGTGTGGAGCCCTATTAAGTCACTTAAAAATGCACATTAATGAAGGAGAGACAGAAGAATTAGAAGAGACTCCCAATTCTATGAAATATGAATAGAAGAATTAACTTTTAATTTAATTCCCATGTAATACTAGGGTTTGGAGGGATAGATATTTTAAAAATCCATCGAAGTGCATATGTGGGCCAAGAGAATTGGGCATAGGGCAAAATGGCAAAGTATCTTGGTACGTGTAGATAAAACAGATCACCTGTCCACCAATAATGGCCATGTTTTATTTTAACTTTGAATAATCAATAACAGAGCACATATCTTGGACGAAGGATTTCAGATTCATGATTTAAATATACTCTTTATTCACATAAATATACAGTACAACAGTCACAGTACCAACATGCACTCATTTATATTTCATTTTCATTTAGTCAATCCCATCGCAATTTTGTGATGTCTTGTTAACATGCATTTGTCAAGGTTGACAATTAGAATTTCCTCATCTATTAAAATTGTAAAGAAAATGAAATTTTTTTGTAAATGAATCAGTCAAACAAATAGATTGATTAATTGGTCTTGAAGCAAATGTGTATATCCGGTTGTATACAGAAGGTTTCTTGTAATTGTATCAAATTACAATGATCCAATGCTAACAGGGGAAGACAAATTATAATACTTTAATAAAAATAAGTCAAAATTTAAAAAAGTCAACACTTCCTCACAAAAAGTTTGTCTCAATTATCTAGGGGTCAAATTGATAATACTAATGTCATGGCAAGAAATCAATTTCAATACAGGACTAACAAAATTACGTGTTGAGTTCCCAGGATAATCAGGCAGACTGTTGAGCAATTTAAAATGGGTCAGAGTTGATGTTGCCTAGGGGGGTGTTTCACAAAAAATAAGATCGACTTTAAGTTGGACTTAACTATGGCAGGCCATTAATGCCACAATTTTCTGTCACCATTTACTGGTATTGGTCTCTCAAAAGATGTACAAATCATGGTCACAAATCTAAAGAATTCACATTTTTTGATAATTCATTCTTGAAGGAAAAAATGTTTTAAAGATCATAATTGAAAGACCAATCGTGAGAGCAACCACTGGTATGAATGGCCTGCCATAGTTAAGTTCAACTTAAAGTCGATCTTAGTCTTTGTGAAACACCCCCCTCGTCTGCAACACAAAATTTAGACCTGTATGTATGAAAAACTGAGGTAAATCATCAAAAACATAGGAAAGGCATACCAGAACAAAAATATTGCTTTGGTAGACTGACAGTTATTTAGACCTTTAGAATTGGGGATAAATTTGATTACAATCACCACAGATACCGTTTGGATTCTTTTAGCACCAAATTTCACTTTAGGCAACTGAACCCACCTAAAATAAAGACAAATTGCACTTAATGTTGTCCACATGAAGAAGATCAGACTGACATTCATCAGCACTATAAAATTGATCTAGTGAATAAGTATTATTAATAGTTACTTGTAAGGCAGTAGAAGACACAGAGATGTCCTGAATACTAATCATTCTTAATCTCTACAACAGAAGATGCCACTTTGATAAGAGTAATAGTTTACAACTAAAGTATTCATACCCCATTACTCTCATCAAATTTTGTAATTTTCAATTATGTGAATAAAAATTGGTTAGTCCCGATCTGTTTCTTGAGAATGTGACACATTAAAGCTGACATCTACAAGTATTCAGCAAATGCTTTCTTAATTAACCAATCCACCTTTCATTCTAGAGTTACAAAAAAAGGCCCCCAAACATCAAATTTACAAGGGGTATGAATAATTCAGATGTTAATTGAACACTCTATCCTTCTGCAAGAGACCATCATATTACATTACCTTCTCCCCCAATTCATTTTGTATTTTAATTACTTGCTTTAAGTGTAATCATCATTGAATATTGAAATGAATATGATTTATCTCCCCTAACTTTACTGTCATTCCCACAATATTAAATGTTTAAATCTTTTGAATTTCGGATACCACATAATAAAACAAACCCTGTTTTTTGGCAAAAATATATCGCCATGCTTTTACAATTCAACCAACTCAACCATACTTCAACATCAAGGTTAAGTTACAGAACCTGTTTAATGGCTGGAGTGAGAGACTAGGGTAGAATTCCTTTGGCTTGTTGTGTAGAATGGTCCTGAATGGTGTAGCCATAAACTAACAGTAACACCAATCTCCATCCCTTCCTTCCATTATCAGACAACCCACATAAATTAAGCTCCAGCATGAAATTTTTTCAATGAGTAAAAAGATGGTAACTTACAGGCCTTACAACCCATGTCAGTGATTTGCCAAATTGGCTAGATTCAAATTGATAATACATCAGGCCAGGGCATTATTTCATGAAACCGTCCTAGGTACAAGTTCACCGGCATCCCATTGTAACACGTGTTAAATTTAATACATGCATTTCAATGAGTTGTCGGCGAACTTGTTCTTAGGACTGTCTCATGAAACGCTACCCTGGTCTTATGTCTTCTCTCGAGCATTACGGTCAATATCATCCACATTCACGACACACATGATTAATGTTCAGGACCAGCTCATAAACTTGAGTGTACTTCCATTACGGTAGATTCTTGTATATCCGGTGTCCAACTGTCCAATCACAGGAGCTCTCCAAAACCAGTACAGTCATTGACTTCTCAGCAGAAGAACTAGTGCCAAAATTAACTTTTCATTTGTTGGATTGAAACCCTACGCAACAACATTTTGAGTACACCTTCCATACACCTTGTACAAGTGACAAAAATGTTGACTGTGGCAGTCCACTGGTTGTTTCATTAGTTGACCAATGCAAGCAAGGGATTAAAGCCCTCTGATTTTAGGATTAAGCTCTGAACAAGCATCTTATTCCTTGTAGATAGAAACCCTAGACAGGAAAGTAGTTTGGAGTCCACATACCATAACCATACAAATTGTATGAGTGGCCAACGTTGACGGTGGCGCTCCACTAGCTGTTCCACTACTTGACCAATGCAAGCAAAGAGTTAAGAGTCCTCTAGAGCCAGATCCTTCAGCTCGGTTCAAGCCTTCGAAGGGAAGAGTCGTATTAAGAAGATCATCCAAAGGAAGATGATGGTGACGCAGATGACTGGACCCCAGACCCACCAGTTACAGGTCTTGTTGGCGTGGACCTCTAGTCTCTCGCTCTCCGTCTTCAACTTGGCGTAGTTGGAGGATGCCATCCTGTTCGACTCCTCCAACCTCTGTTAAGAAGAGAACGAAGGAAGAGAATTGTAATAGGTAGGCAGTGCTGGTTAAAGTGAATCGGTAACATTGTTGAAGGTTGATGAAAAGACTGCGTAATTTTTGTATGAAATGTTACTCATTATATTCCTTCTACTGTACTAACCCTATTACATGTACATGTACAAGTCCTGAAAAATTCACAAACCACAAAGATATTTATTGTTTTCTTGGAAGTGTTACTGTGCGACACCCTCTAACAGTAAATTGTCCCATAAAACAGGCTTTTAAAAATCTTTCAACACTTAGATGTTTATAATGGTATATAGAGCTCTCAACACTTAGATGTTTATAATGGTATATAGAGCCAATTCATTGCTTTGTGACGATTTACATTCACCTAAAATGTTTAATTAAATTCTAATAACATTGTTTGGAGAATTGAGGAATCGATCAGATCAGTTTTTCCCAAATTGTTATCATTAACAATGGTCTGTTATTACTCAAACTTTCAGATTATCTATAATTGTATATCTAGCATTGAAGTTACTACCTTAGCACCATTTTCTCTCATCTGAACAATGTTACAAAATCCCTTTAAAGAACAGAGACATCAAAGTATGGTTTTATGGCACATGGCTGTTGCAAAAAATTGCTCTGTGGTGAATTTCCTATTTACTTCAACCCTGGACCAAACACTACACCTAACCCTAGACCTACCACGACATCCAATTGCAAACCAAACCCTACCATTATGACAAATGAAGCCTGGAGCATAATTTTTGAGCAGCAAATGTTGAATTATCCAATTACTAGATTTGATTATGTTCCAAAATGTTGATACACCTTTGTCAGCATAGATATAGTCCACTTATATCTATATTTTTTATAATTATCTATAATTATATTCTGGAATGCCTGTGTTGTTCAGAACTAGTTTTTTAACATTTTACCAAAAGAAAATATGCTTTTTTGGGGGGATTCAAACAGAAATATCTATCCAACTAGCAATAAACTGGTGGACTACCTGTCAGGACTATGAGCCGCATAGTAGTGGGCTCTCATGGGGAATTCAAAATCATGTGGATGTTTTAGTTTACCCAATAACAGGTGTTGTCAATCACCAGGATTAGCCGTCAGATTGTGACCAACAGGCCTTATGTAATGCTCTGCATTTTCCACCTATGGAAGAGTCAGCACCTTAAATTTCCCTCAACTAAAGACTCTCCGAGAGACAGCGGGGTGGGGGTATTTCTTGACGGGACTACCAGTTTGCTATGTGCAAGACTTGAACAACCATTAATTATATTTCCATCAAGTCTGGTGGTGTCAGCGAATTATGACATACTGCACATGGATACCAGTTACCATCTCTCTTTAAAGCCCCACTGCACTACTTGTGCCCTCTATATAGCAAACAATGCCTAATCTGTGCCTGTTGGTCCCCTATGATCCTCTTTCTCTTATGTTAATTGAGAGCTGATTTGATTTGATTTGATAACCACCTGTCAGTGACCTTGCAGGGAGGTCTAGTGCAGATGGGCTTTAAACCTGAACTGAAGTTGTACCAATCCTGACATCAACGTTATGCGTGTTCCACTTACTCTGTTATCCTCTTTTACAATGCTACCAGCAACCATGGAGTTGTGTTTGAGGTTTCTCGTCAGTGAGAGCATCTCCTCTGCAAGCTTCTCTTGGATGTTGTGATGGTGTTTAAGGACTTCATCCAGGTCTTCTGCGGCATCATTACTTCCTCCATCTCCCCTGTGAACAAATAGACAAATAATTAGAAACAGTGACAAGATTCATAATGATGAATGGATTTGCAAAGAGCCTTTTCACATGAGGCAGTCAGTGTTTATCATTCTGTGTCCAGCAGAGGGGTTCAAACACAATAGCCTGAATTCACAAAGAAGGTTTAAATTTAACCCATGGTTTAAATCTTCAATTACATAACCCATGGTTTTAAAATGAGGGAAAATAAGCATGACACAGTCAGAGGTCCAATATAAGGTACGTTTAATTTGAGCTAATTTTAAAACATGGGTTAAATTTAAACATCCTTTATGAATTCGGGCATAATTTATGAGCTTTTAAGGATTTATTGCTTAAGTTATAATATCACTGTTCATAATTTAGATTATAAATGTACAAAACTAACTGTGCTGCACAGATGTTGTCCAAAAAAATTAAACAATTTGAAATGCATTTTTTTCTTAGAATACACATCTGTTATTTGCCAAGATTTATAAATGCCCTTCTGAAAGTTATGGTCACACACTCACATTCAAGGAAATAGAAATTAATCTTAATTCAACATTTGATTTCCCACAAAAACAAAACAAAAATAGGCAAGGCCATATGTTATAGATAGTAGTTCCATGCTTACCTTCTTTGTCTTACACCATTTGGACTTGAAAAACTGTCATTCTGTAGCAAAAGTGAAACAAAAAAATTTGAGTTTCAAAATTGTTGCAAAGTTTGTTTCATATATTGCAGCTTGTTGTTTAGTTGTTAAGTCATTTTGACACATACAGGTAAACTGTCAATCAAAAACCTTTGAATTTCATGGCCAATATTTTCTTTAAGATCAAGTCTTGAACTTATTGCATAAATGAGAATCAACATCGCACAAGCACATATCAATAACTTATCTATCAACCTAAATATTAGATCACTTGGGAGTATAGATGGGATTCCATTGTAGCTATTTATAAGTAAATGGTAATGAATATGGTTGACAGTGGTAAATTGCTGTTTAGTCTACAAATTGGTCTATTCCCATATGGTCTACAGTATACACCCAACCCGTCAACTGCCCATTTGGTCTATTTTGCATTTAGTCTAGCAACCAGTTTGTCTAATGCCCATTTTGTCTACTATCCCTAAAGTCTGATAATCATTTGATGATTATTATTAGTTATGATTACATGATTATTAGACCTTATGGTTAGTAGACAGGTCGGGTGTCAACCAAATGGGTATAGACCAATCAAATAGTAGACACAATAGTTGTTGACCAAATGACAATTTATAGACCTACACTGTCCACTGTAGATACTCACATCTCCGAGCAGCTCTTTCCTCATCTCATTGGCATATCTGGCTGAGAGCTGTTGATGAAGGTCCTTGGATCTCTTTACGGAGGGAGAGTTGGGATGTTGGATGCCAGATGCCTTAGCTGGAGCTAGCAGCTGGGTTTTCATTGCTTTCTCACTGGCCGATGGCTGTCATTTGGAAAGTAGGAGATTGCACCCAAAGAACAAGAAATTTAGAATAAGCTCAGCTAGGTTTGATTATGATGCCACATGTGGCCCGCCATGCCGTTAACCATTCATTATTCAGGACATTGCACATTCTATACCCAATACTGATACTGCTTATAGTTCAAAGTTACTGTATGTTTCTTTTAATTGTTGTGCTTCATACCATTACAAGCCTGTGCAAAAATCAAAAATTTATGGAGACACAGGATTTCTTACAAATTCATTATGTATCAACATTTAGCTACAAATCTATTAAGAGATGATACATAATGGTTATGGGATTTTTTACTGTGAAAAGGACTGTCTGGAAGTTATCATGAATGGCTGGTTAGGAAGTGGTTGAAACTTGAAAACAATCCAATATGAGGTTTGGGATGTATCATATTAAAAACAAATCAACCAAATCTTGCTGAAAGTCACAAATGATGGAAAGAAGCACTGGAACAGAATATGGGGAGGCCAACATCAGAATAAAAAAAAATTGGCACTCAATAGCATCCCGTTTTACAACTTTTTGTTTATAAAGGAGAGAACTTAATTGATGAGGAATATTGCTAAATAAGATATTCTTGCACATGGAATTAAAAAAGAAAAAGCTTAAATTATTTTGTCCTCAGTCCAAAATGTAGCCTTCTTTTTAAACAGCAGGGAATAGGAAGTTTCTTACCAGCTTTTCCATTTGGATGACTTCTTTCAAAAAGTCCACCTTCTTGTTGTAATTCTGCATTAGTTCTGCAGCTGGTTTCCTGTAGAACATTGAAAGAGAAATGAATCTGCTTTGGTATGTCGTAAAAGGGTGCAAGAGTCTTTAGTTATATGGTAAATTTATGAAAAGCATACAAGCTGAGAAACAAGCATAATAATAATAATAATAATAGTTCAGTTCTTGTATTGCGCATAATACATTATGAAATAACATCTCTATGCGCTTCCAAAGAGCTTTGGACTTTATTACCCTAGCTTTAGACAGAGGAAAAACAATTGGGAGTTTAGAGCTGACTATACTATCATGTTTTTTGATAACTCATATAGCTGGGAAAAAGGAGAAGTCTAAATGGTGGTGTATAACATTAAATGCCTGTTCAGCTATGCAGCCTCCACAAAACAGTTTTAACAAATTCTAACTGGAAAAAATTCTTGTACAATCAGAATAGGAGATAAGAATAAGTTCTTACTATATGTCTCTTAAAGGTGGAATTCAAGGAAAATCTCAAATATGTCAACTAATGTATCACTAGAAACTGGTACAAGTTTTAGGTCAACTACATATTGGGTGATTTATAAAAATACAAATACAACCACCTCCATAGCAGCTGGAATATACAAGAGATTCGCCAGAAAATAACAATGTTTTAATGACGTCACTATATGGACCAATACTGCCCAAGCAGACGACATCCCATAAAGAATGAACATAATTGCAAAGCTATTATTTGTCAAATTATAATGAGTTTAGTGTATATAAATGTAATGGCATGTCGGACCATTCAAAAGGGGATATGACCCGATTCTGATAACTAAAATCTTTTGCTTTTAAATACACAGGATAGGGGTAAATTAACAATCAAAGAAACCAGACTTTAAAATTGAAAAACCCCAGGAATGATATTAAGGATGGCATTTGTTCCCTCTTGAAACACTAAACATACCGCGGTGTGTGCAGCTGAATATACAATGGCGTCTTATTTTGTGTACAAGCGACATATTCCTTTATTTTTGTATCGCTGCATTTGTCATCAAAATAAAACCATGCGCGGGTTTAGAGTGAGGCAATAGACTATACAGTCTAGATAGACACTAGAATAGATATACACAGGCACTGAAAATGTGTGAGATGTCATGGGACATCGTCTGCTTGTGCAAATCATGTCCATACTGTGATCTCACACATCTCAGCAGCATTCGGAGAGCTCTTTAGGTGCTATGCTGGGGCTGTATTTAAGCGTTTTGTAATTTATAATAATCGTTACTTCGAATGTTTCCAAGCATTGAATTTTGATAACCTTGTCGAATCAAAGTTTCAACTTTGCAATAATGAAAATAAAGTTAGTTTTTAAAATCAATGAATATCTACTTTAAATCCAATATCATAATTTGGTCCCCTTGCTAATCATTTTCTACAACGATGATCACTTTTGTTCCATTAATTCACATGATATAAACCATACTTAAAATTCATCAACAATGGCTGTCAGTCATTACAGTTCTAGAAAAGAAATAACAAGATGCAAATATATTATTATTTTACACTTTAAATTCTCTTTCTGAAAATTGGGATGAAAAGCTTCTTTTTTTTGAGGGGGGGGGGGGTATACAAATAATGCTATACATGCATACAGTACTTACACTTGAGATTTCTTCAAGTCTGCCAGCTTATCTTGCAATGCACAAACATACTGTGAAGAGAAATAAAATATAGGAGTATTACTATTAGTCTACAAGTGTGCATACTCTAAATCTGAAGTAAAGGTTAGACTGACTTTACACATTATTATAATAAGACTAGGCCTATAGAGAATAAATAAGAGGAGTGTTGAACTTGAAGATAGTGATATTCTCCCCCATGACAATCATGAATGGCCCCACATTTGTATGCATACTAACTAGATCAAGTAAGAGGTAGTGTTAAAAAAGCCAAGAGATGACTCTTGCCATGTCTAGACCATTGGTTATCATTACCACTTTACCACTTTACCCGAGATTCTGGAAGAATGCTGTGTTCTCAGTCATTTATTTTAAAATCCAAGCCCAAGTGGCAAGTGGATCAACTATCAGCCGCAAAATCAGGATTGGCATTCATTTATTGGTTTTTGTATTATAGTTATGCCTTATGGACCCTTTTATTTTGTAGAAAGAATTTTATACAATCATGAAATGTTATGGACACGTCATGGACATGGGGGATAATAAACAACTGTGTGAAGTCTTGAATATTGACGTTCCTTAATTTTTTTGAACATTTTACAGAATACAGGTACGCACAACAGTCTCAAAATCCAGAAATTGTAACGTTACAAAGAACCAAGATAAACCATGTGAATGTCCTAAAAGTACAACACTGCATTAAGAGGACTATACACCGCAATTGCAAGTCCCCCCCCCCCCCCCCCCCCCCCCCCCCCCCCCCCCCCCCCCCCCTCCCTCACCCGACTCGCATCGCCGGTGAAGTGATGCAGCTGCAGTAAGCCTTGTCTGGCCGAACATTCCTAGACTGCCAAGCTACCCCGACCCTTCGGCAGGTCAGACCCGTCGGTGGCCGTAGAACAAGGAATACCGCCCGGTATAATTCACGAATCGACTTGCCTTTTCCAGACGCCAATCTCCTGATCTGTTTTCCGCAGCCATCTCTTCACACCTTACTAGAAGGCGTTGAAAATTTACTTCTTCACGAGAAGCTGGCATCTTTGATATCAAAATGAACAATTATGGGTGAGATAATAAATCAATCAATGGATGACGTGGACAGCGAAGTGTCAAGTTTACATTCTGTGAACACTTAAAGATTGAAATTATCGACCAACTTCTTGTGATTCAAATTAGGTTGAGATAAAAAGTGTGGCGGAAGAACTAAAAGTTAGCGATTTATAAATATACCCCCTGCAAAAATCTAAATTTAAAAAATGTTTAAACTAGAAGAGCTGTTTCTCTAGCTCAAGAGTCTAGACGCTGGATTGAGTGGGCCAGGCGCGTACACAGGGGGGGGGGGGGGGGGGGGGGGGGTGGGGGGGGGGGTTAGGGGGGGGGTAAACCCCCCTTTGGTATTTTTGTTTGTGTAAACCCCCCTCCCTATTACCCCCCCCCTGAACCCCCCCCCCCCCTTTTGGATTTTTTTTTTTTTTTTTTTTTTTTTTTTTAAATAAAAAATTATTCCCATGGCTGACCTAAAAAGATGACCTTACCCCCCCCCCCCCCCCAACGGAGCCAAATGTCAAATTTTCAAATTTCGAGACCAAAAAAAAAAAAAAAAAGGTCTTCTCTTTTTTGTTAAGCAAAGGCCTAGCAATTTATTTCAAAATATACATGTTATTTTTGGCAATATAGTATACTTTTTTATGACACTTTTCCCCAAGATATATTTACCTTTTTCTCTACTCCCTGTATATCAAATATATCAAATATACCGTACATGTAGGCCTATAAGCCTATAGTCTATGTGGCGTGTAGTATGGCTAGACCACTTGATTATCAAGGATGGCCTATTCTAGAAACTAGACAAAGTAGGCTAATAGATTTTAGTTTTGATCAATAGGAATTTTTTGGTATATAGCTAGGTCCTAGGTCAGCATATTTCTACTCCCAGTTTCTCACATATATTCATTTGTCTGTCTTGTTTAATTTTTGTCTGTGTTTCCGTCCTGTTGCTCGTAGTATTTTCCTGCTTTGCTTGGTTTATAGCCATTATATAGTAGTCAGTAGATTTTATTATACTGATTTATGTTTATATTTTCTCAGTTGTCAGTTAGTTTAGTTAGTTTAGTTTGTAAGCATTTTAATGTATGCCTACATTTTAATGTATGCAGTATTCTTGAGTTAATTTGTTCACTTTCGGACATAAAATGAGGGACCTAGCCTTGCTTTCAACCGTGAGGTCTCATCTTTCTATTGCCATATTCTGTCAACTTGTTATATCCATGTCATAAGTGTGTCAATGAAGATAAATAAAAACTTGAACTTGAACTTGATGATGTAAGTTCGTTGTAAACTAGTCTCAAGACACATTTATTCAAAATAGCGTTCAATGATTAATCAACTCTGTTCACTTTGACGTGTATTCCATATGTATTGTAATTTGTAAGTTTATTTGCATTTTTAGTTTTGTATAAGATATAATTGTATATCAGTCTATTTTGTGTGTATATCGCTTAGAGACTTCGGTGGTAAGCGCTTTATAAGTAACGTTTATTATTATTTGTTTCATTCATGCACATACAGAGACCTTTGAAGCGCTCAATGTCAAAAACATTATCAAGGAAATATGAATGATAGCTTTGACATCTTCTTTGTTTGGTTCCTCTGGTTTGGAGGAACACAATTTTGAGTTTATAAACTAATTAAAACGGTATTACAGATTACCAGGCCTATACGCATAGTCGCATATTGACATTTGATTTTGTAAAACTTCACTTTTTTAGGAAGTGCCTTAGTAGAAGAAAAAAAATCATGCAGATATAGCTATAATTTTCAGAAAGAAAAGAGAAATTGCTGAGTGTTTTTTCTTGTACCTTTTTGCCTCGTTTTTAATATAAATGGCCCATGCCAAGAACAGTAGCATCAAAAGATGAGACTCAAATTGGTAATAAAATATATTGTATGGGTTCTAAAAATGTGATGCTAATGTCGCTCGCTAGTGGTCATAAGTGGAAACTGACTTGATGTGATATTAGCTTGTCCCTCCAGATCTCGTAAGTAATACAATTATTCTAATTTTGTCAAAATTTCCTACAGAGGGATTTAATTAACTAAAAAATTGAGTTTTGTGAGAAATTTAATCCGGGAAAGAAGTTTTATTTACACGCGAGTTACTGTTATCTACAAACTTTAGTCCGATATATTGAAAAGGGCGTGTAGTGAACTCTGCATGCAACCATGGCATCGCGAACACATACATACATAGCATAGGTGCATTACTATCCTGGCTGTGTATTAAAAGCTGTGCTATTGTCTTTGATTCTCATTTCTCAACATTTCAAACACCACTGTACCAAACTCAACTGATTTCACTCAAAATCGATACTTTAGTGACGATTGATGACACCTAAATAGCAGTATAATACGAGTTTGTTCATTTTCCCGATGTTAGAAAGAATAATTTAAAAATTCAAATTGAAAGTCCACTGTCACTACTGTCAAATTTGCCGATCAGCGGCACCGGCATGATGATGTGTGCGTCTGTGTGTTATGAGTGTATTGACTATTCATGTATTCGAATGCTATAACACGTAGTGCAGTGCTAAGGGTCAATACTCATGGCGGTAAGCAAGTTTGATAGTAGACTCACGATTTTAATTTTTTAAATATTCTTTCAATTCTAACATCGGTGAGTTAAAAAAAATCCTATTTTACTGCTATTAAGGTGTCACCAATTGTCTTTAAAGTACCATTTTTTAGTGAAATCAGTTGTACAGTGGTGTTTAAAAATGTTGAGTATCAGTAGAAGAGGTAGAATCTAGGTCTAGTAATGCAGTTATGTGTGGCAATTTGTGTAAGCAATTTGAGGTCTTGTCTATTCATGTCAGTAGATCTATATACATCTTTGAAATTGCGATTGCAGGGTTGGTTGGGTTGTGATTACCAGTAATATTTTTTTTTTTATTGTTATAAACTTATTTTATTGTTTAAAAGTTTTGGGCTAACACGTGCTTTCATGTTCACTGCTTTAATTCTCTCATAGTTTTTTGCATTTATCCATATAAAAATTCACACGGGAGCATTGAAATCATAGGCATATATGGGCATATTTCCATGGGGAGGGGGAAGAGGCATGGTGGCTGAATATCGGCCATTATGTTTATAAAATTTCATTATCGAGCGAAGTGAGCTAGAAAAAAATAAAAACAATGTTTTGGGGGACAGGTGCAATGCCTGGTTGCGATTTATCAACTATTAATTTTATAAATACCACGAGGGAGCAATAAAATAAAAACAATGTTCATTATGGCATAAATGTTGCTTTAAAGGTACTATGTCCCTTTTGCAGCCAACCTCAAAGTCAAATTCTGTAGAACTTTGCAGGAATTATGAATATGTCATGTATGTCCTACATGTATCTGTGAAATTTAAACGTTAGCAGTGTCCTCATATTCAAATTATGCAAGGAAACCCGTTTACTTGCTAGACTTCACTGTCAGACACTATTGAGTGACTGAATGGCTTTTTTCTTTTTTGGTATTGAAAAGAGTTGTAAAGGGTACGTGAGCATTTGTCTCCATCAATAACCCACTTCTTGTGATGGCCAAGATTAAACTGATTGAATCTTTGCGCAGCATAAAACGTATGACCATTCGGTACAATTGTCTGAAAATCAAGGCTATTACTTTTGGGCTCTATAGCCCTAAAGTCGATTTGACAACTAATAGTCGTTATTTTCCCACTTGAAGACATTTTCAAGCCCCACCTTTTTTAGGGAAGTTCTAAATTAGTATTATCTTTCAAATGCAGTTGGAATTTAACTTTTTCATTTTTTTGGCCTGCAAATGGGACATAGTACCTGTAGCGGCGCGAAACTTGTATAGCGCCATCTGCGGCGTTAAGAAAATTTGTGCAACAGAAAGCCTAGTCAAAGGCATTCAGACTTGATGTTTGTTACCATAGAATTCATGACTTTGCTCCGGATGAACAAATAGTTGGTAAGCTACGATACATGATTACTGTAGATAACTGATTTACTGTCAAATATATGAAACTAGTTGTTTCATACGATTGTTCATTTCCTGTGAATTATGTGCAAATAGTGAGTTGATTTTGGATGATTAACGCAACGTTATGTACAGAAGCCTATGTGTTGCTATGGGGCTATGAAACGCATTGCACCCAGGTATGTGTCGTGCATAAAGGGGTTTATTCATATAAACAAGCTCTAAGATGGTGCATGATTTAATTAGTATGATATGTTATAGTGACTTGCACAGCTTGTAAGAGTTAAAAGAGGTTAATTACCATTATAAGGAGTGTGTAGAACCGTTTCTGAGGGAATATTATTGATGTCAGTTGTATAGGGTCTGGAATCACATAGACTACTTTGTAATTGCTTAATTAAGGGGGCATTATGAAGCCGTATCTGTAGAACACCGTGCATTACAGGCACATTCTAAGCACAGGAATTTATGAAGATATATATATCAAGCAGAGACATAAATGAATACACTGTATAGCTGGATAGTTACATTCCTTTTGGAGTTTATTTCGTATATAAACATCACGTTTATATGTCAAGAGTATTTACAAGATTCACTGTAATGTAGACAGGGTTACATGCATTTAATTCTGTTTATATGATGCATAGGTTTATAATGCTTTGTTACTTTGTTGTTGTTTACAGTGAACCGCTAATTGGATTGCTGATGATGATTCGCTAATTGGATTGCTGATGATGATTCGCTAATTTGATTGCTGAAGATGATGATTCGCTAATTGGATTGCTGAATCGCTAAATGAAGATGACTTGTTACAAAGAACCGAATAAAGAAAAATAAGAACTCAACAAGTCGTTTGCAACGTTTCCTTTATTGGCGCGTTCACAGTACCTTTAACATCAAACTTCATTGATTCAATCTGGCCATCTTGCTGCCCAAGTATTTGGGGCATAGCATTATGATCTCAGTAGTACCAGGGTACTCATGAAATATGATACATGACGCGTAAGTGCAGGAGACTAGTATTGATTATAAAATAATGATTTGTTATCAATTTATCTTTTCAGGACGATGGATGTTGTCCTCCATCGCTCTCCTGCATTATTTAGGCGGACAGCCGTAGCTCTGTTAAACCTTGCTTCCCGGCCAAGATACGATAGGAGCACTGTTTTGGAGTCAAGTGGAGTGCTGAGTGATGTCACTGCACAGCCAGTAAGAAGTGTTTGCATCGCATCAGTAATCTCAGAATTGAAGAGGGTGAACCTTACTGAGTCACACCCGTGCCTTCGTATTACATCTGAATGGACATGCCCTGGAATCTACAGGAGTTCTGTTAGGACATGCTCCAGTGAAACTGTTACAAGCAAGCGCCGTGTGATTCCCAATCAAGCAAGCAAGGAGTATCTGGCCAGCATTGGTCTCGACTGTGACAGGCTACAGAAGTCTCGTCCCACTGTGCTGAAACAGAATGTGGGCCACCTGCAGCAGCATGTCGACCTCCTCAGGAGCCTTGGTCTGGACAATTCAGACATCATCAACATCATCTACAAGGAAGCTGCATTCCTGAGGAAAGATGTAAAGTCTGTGTATGAGTTGGTAGAGTACCTGAAGAACACTGGTCTAACGGACAGTCAGGTTGCCAACATCTTTCAGAGGGCGCCCCGCTTCTTCAGCACACCTGAGACAGTCATGGACAATGTCGAGTATATGAAGTACCTTGATGTCACGGACAAGAACATCTGCTATACCTTGATCTACACTCCATCCATGTTCTACAGGGTTCAAGGTGGGGTGGAGCGGGTAGCTTCATACCTCAAGCAAGTCATGACGGAGGAAAAATTTGTAGGAGACCATAACCTTGTCATCCGTTATATCATGAGGAACGATCCAGCCCTTTTCATCCGACAGGTTTCTGAATTGGAGAACAACGTGAAGTTCTTGAAGGGATCTGGATTTCATGGAGAGGACTTGATATCGATCATCCGTTACTGTCCCAGCTCAATTCGTATTGGAACCGAGTTCCTCAAGTCACGGCAGGAATATCTCCTGAAGCATTTGTCTCTCACTAAAACTACGTTGAGAGACCTCATCCGCAGGCACCCGCAGTTGCTTCATGCCAGTATAGAGACAATCCAATCTCACATCGATCTTGTTCTTGAGCTAGGCTTCACAACGCAGGATATGGTTAAAACTCCTAGAATCTTTTCTCGTAGTCTGAGTTCAATCAGGACTCGCTATGATGAACTAACTGCAGTTGGGTGCAAGCCTAATCTAGGATCGTTCATTTACTCCAAAGAGAGACATCAGCTGGTCGTGCTGAAATTTAAGATGAACGAACGCAAGAAAAACAAAAGGACTGATGAAATTGAAAAATAGATGGTTATTTTCATGCGGTTGATTTTATGTTTTATTTAAGTTAATTTAGAGCAAATCATATGCAAAAAGCTTGTACATCGCATACATGTATATGTGGTATGGAGGAAGTTGAAGTAACTTGGTTATAAAAACTCCTTGGAACCAAGAATATTATTTTGTTCAATTTGTTGGTACCTTATATTATTTATAAGGGCTCAAAAATAACCGAATTCAAAGAATTTGGACGGTCACGTTCATTTGTTATAATGAGTGTCTGTTATAACAGCATTCTCTGTAATTAGGTTCCTCTGTTCTATTGAATATTTGAATGTACATATTTAATTTAAACTGGAAACAAAATGAAATAATACCAAAAGTACAGAAAAAATACAGAAGAAGAACAAAAAGGAGCGATTTTTGTTCTTTAAATTAAATTGTAGAACAGTCATGGCAGGTTTTGAACCATTGTTATAGTTGCTTGGAAGATGCATGTGAGTATCTGAGGCCAAGGTAAACCGGTTATAACGTAGAGGTGTTGTGGCTTAGTGGATAAGTCGTCGGACTGTAAATCACAGGGTTTGCGGTTCGAGCCCCGCCATGGCACTAATGTCCTTTGGCAAGACATTAATCTACACTTGCCACTATCCACCCAGCTGTTAAATGGGTACCGGTAGGAAGGAATTCCTTAAAATGCTGTGAGCGTCGAAATCGGCAGCCTAGCATAGCCGGGTAATGTTGGAGCGCCTTGAGGACCTTGCAAGATCGATACGTGCGCTGTATAAGAATCCAATATTATTGTTATTATTATTATTTCGTTCACAATTTAAATAGGATTTTTTTATGTCCAACAAGAGTTGGCTAAACATACTTCAAATTTTTTCTTTTATCAAAGATGCAATTAGAACTATTTTTTTCAAAGTATTTTGCCTGTCATGATATTATATCCACTTGCCAAAAAGTATCTGATTTTTTATCTTATGAACATACTGGCTATCCAAAATATTTGAATTTGTATGAGAGTTAATTGCTGAATATCCCCTAAATGTGTCTTTTCTTAAGCAGATATTCACCCAGTCATTAAAATGGGGGAGTATTTTATTGCTTATGGAGGAATGATTTTGACCCTGTCTACCAGTGACTTGGAATAAATCTCTCTTATTGTATCCTAAGAAGGCAAGAAAATACCATTTATTTTATTTCTTTAATTAGGGGTGGAGGATCCACAAGGGTACATGTACAGTAGTTGTCATATTTATCATTGTATTACCCCGACTGCTTGCCATTACCACACGACATGAGAGATTAAAAGCCCTCGGGTTAGAGACACTCATTTACCGAAGACAGAGAGCTGAGCTGATTCAAATCTTTAAGATTATGACAGGAATTGACCGGGTGGATATCAATACATTTTTTCAACTGGTCCATGAATCCAGAACCAGAGGCCACAGTATGAAAGTAAGGAAGCCAAAGTGTAAATCTGTGCTTCATCAAAATTCCTTCTCTGTGCGAAGTTGCAACAACTGGAATTCCTTACCACTACCAGACTCAGCAGTCAGAGCAACAAGTGTAAATCACTTCAAATCCATCCTTGGGAAATATTGGTACAGCCACCCCCTTAAGTACAGTCCATACCAGAGAGATAGCATTACCTGGAGGGGCAAATAAGTTTATCTTTACGCTTCAACATCAAAGTAAACATGTATATTATTTTGTGCAATGCTGCTTTTACTATTTGTTACAATGATCTCACAGAATGATATCCTTTCGAGATCCATCATAGTTGTATTCCAAAGTTTCTTCTATGTGTTGCTCTCCTATGCCGATCATGGTGAGAATTTTTCTGACTAAGAATTCTGTATCATTGTATGCTATTGTGGTTACCCTTACTTTTTCATTTTTACTCATTCATTTGTTCAATATGTTGGCCTAATAGTGCATCTGTATATTTATTTTTATTTTATGTGTACATTGTGTACAGGCCCTACAAGGGATATACTTACTTGAGAGACAGTCAAAATTATTATCTGCTCTAAAGTGGCTCAAGTCATACCTCGAGAACCGGAAGCAACTTGTAATCGTAAACGGAGCCAAATCAGATGAATTCCCTCTAACTTGGGGGGTACCGCAGGGCTCAGTAATGGGACCTTTGGAATTTGTTCTATATACTGGTCCTGTGAGTGACGTCATCGCAGCCCACAAAGGTATAAGCCACATGTTGTATGCTGATGACACCCAGTTGTACATCGTTATGCAACGCAATGACCTGACTGATGGCATCTCGTCTTTGGAAGACTGCGTGACAGATGTGAAGTCTTGGGCTAGTAACAATAACATGATGCTCAATGCAAACAAGACTGAGCTCATCCACATTACATCACAATTTAGGAAACGGAACGAGTCTGTCAGCCTTCACATAGACGGAGCTGTTATCACTGCGACCAATTCTGCAAGAGATCTGGGTGTTATCGTTGATAACTCGTTAGACCTAAGAGAGCACATCCGAAAGGTGTGTCGGGCAGCTAGCTTCGGTGTTTATAGGATTGGGAAAATCCGGAAATACCTTGATCGCAGCTCTACTGAACGACTAGTTAATGCATTGGTTACTTCCCATTTAGACTATTGTAATTCATTATTAATCAACTTACCTGCTTCTCATCTGGCCCCACTTCAACACATACAAAACACCGCTGCACGTCTCATCACTCGCACTAGAAAGCACGACCACATCACTCCAGTCATCCGCACCCTACATTGGCTCTTAATTCCCCAACGTATCCAATTCAAGATCCTTCTCCTCACGTTCAACATCATCCATCATCGCGCACCGTCATACCTGATTGAACTGATCTCACCCAAACAGACTACCGGCATGAACCTTCGATCATCATCCAGACCCCAGCTCGCACTTGGTCCTCGCACCCACAACCGCTATGGTGACAGGGCCTTCTCAGTCTGTGCCCCCACTCTTTGGAACACTCTCCCCGCCCATATCCAGGACTCACCCACCATTGACATTTTCAAAAAGAATCTAAAAACTCATCTTTTCCAAAAGCAACCCAAATAACTCTAAAATAAGTTCGAATAAATATTACCATGCCTTTATTATGTCTTTTTAAATTATTGCTATTACTGATAAAATGTTAATTTCCAAGGAATTTACATGTTTTGTTAATTTCTTTAGTAATGTTAATAATGGTTAATCTTCTTGGTAATTTAAGTAATGTTAAGTTGTTAAGTTATGTTAGAAATATTTGATATTCTTGTTAATTTAAGTAATGATAATTTGTTAAGTTATGTTAGTAATATTTTGTTTTCTTGGTAATTTGAGTAATGTTAATTCCATTAGTAATATTGATTTTTGTTTTAAGTAATTTTGATTTGTGTACATGTACAGCGCTTTGAAACTTTTGTCACAAGCGCTATATAAATTTGTCATATTATTATTATTATTATTGAAAAAATAAATTTATTGTGTTAACAACACATTCCCTTTTGAAAGATCACACATCAAGTGTTGTAATCTCACACTGCATGAGAATTTTTTTTCTTACCCCATAGGAGGTAAAAATGTATTCCTAGTTTTCCTTTGTACGGAATTGTGTAACTGTATCGTTTTTGCACATGAATTCCCATCATGAATGAAAATGTTTTGCCTTGGCTTATCCCTCAGCGTTAGCAATTCTTGAAAAGCATAATCTTGCATTTGAGCCTTGCATTCATGGAATCGCAATTAAAATTATATTTGCAATAACATACACAATCTTCAAATCCAGAGTGTAATTTTAGTATTGGATGACAAAGGGAAAATAAGAAGAAAAAAGAGAAAGAGGGGAAGGAGGAAGGAGGGAGGAGTGAGAAATAGAGAGAGAATGAGTGTCTTTGTGGAGACGGGTGACAAGAATTGGAGCTTTAGCCCACGCAACCGATGGTGTCGGTTATCCGAGCGTTATGTCATCTTTCATGGGGGTTCATGAGACCGGCCGCCCACAAGATGGAGAATCTAAAAGAATATTTCTTCATGTATTTTTGTATGTCTCGTGTGCTGTCGATTTCAGGTGTGTCGGCCTCGTGGGCTGTCTGTCGACTGCTATGTCCCAGACAAAGGAGAAAAGATAGCCGTTGCCAGGGGCGGCGATTTCTTTTCATGACCGGGGGGGGGGGACAAAATGCGAGGGACTAGGGAGCAGTGGCGTAATGAGCAAAATAATTTTTTGTTTGTTTGTTTGTTGGGGGGGGGGGCAGAAAAAAAATCTGCATCACCACCACTCTTACATGTTACGCAGGCCCTGGGAACGTTTTTCAAAATGGGGGGGGGGAGGCTAAAGTACTTACGATCAGATAGAGCAAAGCAAAGTGGAGCATAAATTGGCGTGGGGTCAATGGGCGGAGCACCGTGAAGTTAAGGGGTTTTAGGCATTTATTAATGTTAGATGAGCATATTTTAGTACCTCATTTTTGACACTGGCACACAGTTCACTAATTGGAGTGCGTTCCAGGGGTAGAGACCCCGGAGCTCAGGCGTTTAAGGCATTTATTTACGGGCAGATGAGCAATGCGGGGTCCTTGGTGGGGTCAAGGGGGCGAGTCCCCGGAAGCGCAGGGAAATATCATGCTATTTCAGCAACATTTGTTAATCACTGGTATTGAATTAGAAATAAACCACGTTTGAATTTCATTTGGGGGGAACTGCCCCCCAAGCCCCCCGCAAGTGCGAGGGAGCAAAAGTGAATGAGAGGGGTGAAGGTGACGGAAGTAATTACCCCCTCACAGGTTTTTGAAGTTTTGTTGTATTAAAAAATTACAGTCTTAGCAAAACTATAGTATAAAAACAAGCAATATACTGTTTTCACACTTCACTTTTCTCGGTATTTACTTGAACATTTTGAAGGATATTATGCGAGGGAGCGTAGCTACCGAGTGAGAAGATGTTTGCATTTTTATTTGTCTACTGCACTCTTGGGCCCTCCAGAGCCTAAAAGTGAGTTGCAGTATTTATTAGGTATTTGCTATACATTTTTTTTTTGCACTTTTCAATTTTAAGAGGGGGGACGATCCCCCCTAAAAAAAATTTGAAAGGGACGTGTCCCCCCCCCCCCCCCCGAATCGCCGCCCCTGGTCATTGTACCATCTTGATTGGATGGATGCACTGGATGGTATAGCAAAAGTAAGATTTACCCTCCCCCCCCCCCCTCCCTTTACAGTTTTACTACGTTTTTTCCCGTTTTCTGTAGACAACTTCCATGCGCCTTCTTGCCTTATGCAACTGTCAAACTTTTTTCTAATTTCCGTGTTTCTATGTGTTTTCTGCCTTATCAGACAGTCGAAAAGAGGCCAATTTTTCCCCTCTAGAAATGGTATTTCCTATCGCGGGAGGGGCAGGTTTATTAGCCAGATCGCTACGTGAACCCCCACTAAATTCCCGAGAAAGTACCAAGCCATACACATTAAATTTCCTGTCTTTAATGAAGTACAAGGAAAAGCAAATAAAAAGAATAGTTATAATAAATGTTATTATTACATTTATTACTATTATTATTATTATTTTGCGGGAGAAATACAATGCAAAACACCTACCCGATCATCATTTTTAAAAGAGATAAGGGGGGAATGTTATAGTAAACGGATTCAAGCTTAAATGTTTCACGTTTTGATCTTTCGTTAAAGATAATTCAAAGTTTTTGTAATATTTAAACAGGATTGAATAATGAAATTTAAAATTTGCATTACCATTGTGAAACCTAAAGTAGGAATTAATCAACTTTGAAAAAAATTGGGCTGTAAAACGATAAGGATTTCGAGAAATGAAAATATCAAATTTATCGGTGCTCTCGATGAATTCAATAGCGCCTACGGCCATACAATGGTAGCTGCGGCCATGAAAATCTTGGAATGTGCAGTTCTGAAAATAACTATTGAATCAAAAGAAAGGAGGGATATCAATAATTCCATGAAAATCCTTACTCACCCCCCCCCCCCCTCTCCCCCGCCCCTCAAACCCTTAAAGAAGAAAAAATATTTTGCCTTTTTTTTGTATTTATGGTCTATTATACAGTTAATTGCTTTCTTAGCTGTCAGGTAAAAAACTACTACCACCACCGCTATACCGTGCGTCCCCCAAAAAACTATACACTTTTGAATTGGCTGCCGAATAAAAGATATATGATTCTGGGGGGAAAGTCTTATATGTATGGAAAGCTCATAAACTCAACTTTCATATGACACTAAAAAGTCTGAAAATAATTCATGCTTGGGTGAGCACTGTTCACTTTTGTAAAGGGTATGAAAATTAGGTCGCGCAGGAATTATTTTCTCTATTTTCTCTTTCATTTCATATTAAGGGGGAAAAAAAAAAGAATAAGAACAAAAGAGAGAAGCCTATATTTAAATTATATTTTTGATACTCTTATTTTAAAAAAAAAGAGAAAGAAAGAAATTAATATTAAAAAGAAAGGCGTTGGTGATAATAGTCAGGTCTTGACTGATTGCCATTACAACAAAAAACAACAACAACAATTAGCCTTCCAATTTGTGAGAGGTAAATCCTTAGGAGCTTACGGAATTGAGGATATGACCAATTTATGATCAATTGTGCTGAGTTTGGGTTTGTTGAGTGAAATTTGTGGTTTATGGGATTAAGATGAATGAGGGCTGAGTAACAACTTAGAGCTCTTAATTTATTCTTAATCCATTTATGTACCATTTCCATGTCACGCACTGCTACACACTGTGACTTTGAATAAAAACCATCACCCCACATTTCAATTATTGTAAGATTAGTTGAACATCTCATTGATTTACTTAACACCCAGGTAGGGATTATGTAAATTTAATATTCAAATACAGGTTGTTGAAAAAAGGAATGTCCAAGATGTCGGCTCCTTATTCTTCAGGTAAATGGTAAGTGAAATGTTGGGTGAAGGTTTTTATTCAAAGTCACAGATGTAAAAAATAACAGTTTGTAACATGGAAATTACAACATGTACCATCACCCCATCCTGACTCCCATTAACACACCACTGAGTCTACTAGGGAAAGTTACAATGCTACAATACAAAATACAATTCCTGTTCACTCATGCACACACATTTGGTTTAATAAACCATGAAATTCACTCATCAAATCATGAATGTATGATGTATCATATCACCCTCAATTTTGTAAGCTCCAAAGGATTTACCTCTCACAGTTGGAAGGCTAATTCCTGCGCAACCTAATTTCCATACCCTTTACAAAAGTGAGCAGTACTCACCCAAGCATGAATTATTTTCGGACTCTTTGGTGTCATATGAAAGTTGAGTTTATGAGCTTTCCATAGATATAAAACTTTTCACTCAGAATTATATATTTTTTTATTCGGTAGCCATTTCAAAAGTGTATAGTTTTTTTGGGACGCACTGTATGTCATAAAGAAAAAACATGAACAAATTATAAATACGCCTGTCTTCAATGATTTCGTTTTGTTGAGAAAAATGGGCGTCATTTATTGTTTTATGGGGATATGGAGAGCTCAAGTCGAACCTCAACCCCCACTCTAGTGTGTGATTAAAATATTGAAATGTTTATTGAAATAGATGTAATTCAACTTTACCTAAACTTAAACCTCTAAAAAGACGGAAAAAACTAAAACAAAACGCGTTGGAAGAATTCCAAAGGAAGCCCCGTCTTATAAAAGAGTTGCGATTGCGATTCACATTTGAAATTAAGATCAGTCGCATCTCCTTACTATATCTGTAGTACAGAGTTGTGATTTATATTAATTGCAAATCATTCAGATTTATTTTTAATAATACCGAGCACAGGCAATAGGCGCGCCACTGTCCGGAGGATGGATGAGATGAAGTCACTGATTGGCTGATAGTCTCGCGTCCTCTATTGTGATAGCCTCCTCAGGTACGCTTCACCAACGCGATGCGGTACGGCGCATACTCATAAAAGATCTCCATAGCAACGCTGACACTATCCCAAAGCAACCCGGGCCCAAAGCTGAGAGATCAAAGGGGGGTTACACGCAAAGATCCAATACACGCACGGCATATGCAGTGTGTAATGTAATCGAAAAGTTTATACCAAACAAACATTGCATCGTCCCGTCGGCAGTCTGGAAAATCCACAAGACTCCATCTGGAAAGGAATATTAATGTTTTTGGAGTTTTCTTTCTGAAGGATTCGGAAAATTTGTATCGAAAGAAGGTAAGTCTTTTCATTGTTTATAAGATTTAAAAGTTAGAATAAACACGATAAAAGTTTGCCCGTAACTGCTATGTTTATTTGCAATAATACTAGACTATAATAGGTCTATAGCGATATTATTATTTGTGTGTTAGCTGTTCTTTCGAGAGATTAGAAATGTATCAAACATAATTTGGTATTTCGTTGACAAAATACGAAAGATAGGTCTACTATATTGTATATAGTATTTTGGTAACTCTTTTACTGTAACTGTTGTAATAACTGAAATAATTTTCGATTCATAATATTGTAGTATGATAATGTTTTAGTTAAGCTGTTTTAGACTACATTTATAGCTAGTGATTATATTTAGACAACCAAATACATTAAAACATTTTGGTTGTCTAAATATACTATACAATAGTTACATTCTGTTGATCTTCGTTAGAAAAACATGTTCATTTCATGCGATGGGTACCTAGAGGTCTATACATTTTGTAACTTCAATTTCAAGTGGAATAACCAAGGCCCTTCCCATGCGCACGTGCGATTCTTTTATCATTCTATTTTATAATACCCACAAGTCATGTGTCTGGATAGTTTATTTAAAACAGTATGTTGAAAAGGTTATCGTTCAATATTTCATATATACATCAAGACTTATTTGGGAAAAATTTGATAAAGGGCAAATATTTATGAAGGTTAGTTATTTATTTGGTAAATCCGAAACAAAGACAGCTTTTTTGTTGCTAAGTATCCGGACACGCAACCCTGTCCAACGGGGTACTTTCCACATGATTTTGAATTCCATTTGAGGCAAGACACGGTTGGAATTAAAATGATACTGAACAGAATCATCTTCAACTACGCATTATTTTCTTTTACGAATTCGACACAACTATTAAAGAACTGAAATATGCAAATATAAGCACATTACCCACTTCTAGAAAAGAGAGGAAGATAATAATATATGTGGAGACAATAATTTCCATGCGAGCTTAATGGAATTTTCTTTTAAAAATATATCTCTTTTACACTTATGTAATATAGTTAAAAAGAAATGCAATCTTAACGCATACAAAAATGTGCTGGTTTTTGGGTGATTATATAGTGAAATTATCATGCTTTGCCGACCTATAATGAAAGGGAAAAAAAATTCTGCATTATTACTATACAATAAATATTTTGTTGCTCTCAATGTGGCATCAATAACAAGATAAATTACATTTGAAGTCAGGAAATAAAAGTCGCATACCATTTGTTAAATTTTATTATAAATATTCATGATGTTTTTTGGTTATCATATAGGAAGCGTGGCGATATGTTCGTTTGTTTGTTTTTAATGGTGAAGTATGCATGTAACAAATTCATAAAATCAGATGTATTGATGAAATTGATTTTGTAATAACATCTTAATACACGGCCCAAGCACAGGAAACTGTTAAAATATTGTATGAATTAGGTAGATATTATTAAAACCATCCAAAATATTAGATAGACTAAGTGAAAGTAAATTTAACCAAAGTCAAATGGAAACATAATTTAAAAACAAAACAACAACAAACCAAAAACAAAACAAAAATCGCTTTTCAACATCACGAATATTTAAGAGTTGTGCCACATTATTATAAATAACTTTTGAAGTAAACAAAATAATTGGTTGTATATTAAAGTTTGCAGCCTATGAAACACATCAAAACGAAATATCAGTAATGAAAACATGTATTTCTTTGCTCTGTGTTAAAATATTTATTTGTGTCTAAATGCCATTAATGTTTACTCAATGAACCATCTTTGCTGGGGAAAATCTTTCACCGGAAAATATCTCTGTGGACGGACTTATTTAGTAGTTTGAACAATACCACGAAAAGAGAAGAATATGGTAATACTCTTCTGCCTACAAATTTCCATGAAGATTATACCGCCAACTAGGAACATGGAACTTGAGTCATTGCACATTTTGAATAACAAAATATCTTTCCAAACTGTCGGATCGAATGTTATAATTTATGTCATCAGAATTTTAGCTCTTGTTGTTTGGTATAGAGACGGCCATGTGTGCCTCCATCAACGTACCCAACACTACTAAGTATAAAGAGGATTCGCCTTATATTTGAATAACAACTAAAGTGTAGTTAAGGATGGTTAAGTGTTTTCAGAGCCCATTCACGGCAGTACAATGTAAACTAATGAATAGACTACAATGGGATGCATGGGTGTAACAACAGAGTGGTGTCGTGGGGCCCTCAGAAGGCGATGTATCAATCGTGTATGTAATCAGTGACTTGCTAGGAAGTTTACCTACGTTACTAGGCTGCGTGTAGTACTATACAATTTATGTATGTCATAAAACTTTAAAATGGGGGGGGGGGGTGGGGGTGCGGGTATTTCGGTTCTTGTTAGTGCTTATAGGGTTTTAATGGCCTTTGGTACAAACGTAGCCTCTTAGATAATTAATTTGTTGATCAGATCCTCCAATAACTGTTATTAATTCTCTTCATGATAGGTATTCGTCTTACATTTTTTATCGTAGCCTGTTAGTGCAGCGCATCTTATACCCGGGGGGGGGGGGGTACTCACATCATATGCATACGAGGTGTGCCGCTCTGTAATGGATCACTTTTTCACACAAAAATCCCTAAACAAGGGTCCCACTTTTAACAAAAATACCATTAAAAATGGGTCCACACCTTCAATGTCCCACCAATTCAAATGTGACTGAATCTACATGTATAATGATGTAATTTGTGTTGAATGTTGATGCATGTACCATACTGAATATACGAAGCTGACTACAACTTAACATGTACTACCTGCCCATGGAACGCTACTGGACTTATTTCCAGACTATGACATAATTCTATGACATCAAGCCACCCCCCCCCCCCCGCCAAATATGTTGTCAGTTTAAACTGTGTGGTATAATTATGATTGTTTAGAATAACCTTTACGTTATTGCCCCGATTTCAAAATGAAGCTTTATCACTCTCATCGAATAATATAGCACAGCCAAAACCATCGCAAATTGGCTTTCAGATTTAGATGAAAATGTTGCAGTAATATCAACAACATGAAATAGAACCACATTTTCAAACGTCTTTGAATCCCTCTTGAAGGCTAGACCACTATATAAGCTAGTAGATGACTTCTGTTATGTTTGTAGAACAACAGAATACTTCAAAACCTTATACTAGCTATACAAAGCAGAAGAGGGAAATGTGATTGGTATCTACTACAAGATAGAAATCCAAAGTCAAAGTATTTTCATTTAATCCACGAAAATGACAGAGATTCTGTTTTCACCTTTCAAGTTTGTCCACGTGTAGATTCATACAACGTCGAGCCCCTTTCATTGTAAGGGGGAAAATATCAAGCCTGCTTTCCCACATGATAAAATTATGGGGCTCACATTAATTAGGCTTAATCCATAATGAAGAATTCGACCCCCCCCCCTCCTCTTCTCTCTCTCTCTCTCTCTCTCTCTCTCTCCCCAGCCCTCCCTCCCCCTCTTCCTCTCTTCCCTCTCTTTGTCTTCTCTTTCACTATCTAGCTACCTCCCCCTCGTCTCTCCCTCCCTCTTTCCCTTCTCTTCTCTATCTCTCTTTTTCTTCTCTCCTCACTCTTCCTCTCCCTCTACCTCTCTAACTCTCTCTCTCTCTCTCTCTCTCTCTCCCCATCCCTCTCATTCTCCCTCTCTCTCTCTCTCTCTCTCTCTCCACCTCTATCGCCATCTTGTTACTGCCATTGCCTATCCCTCTGTGGATGATGCGACAAGGTGATATAGGGTCACGGAAGTAGATATCCCGCTGTACCACCTGCTGAGTTTCATCCATGGTAACCGTTGCTAGGCAACGTTTGTAGAAGAGAAAGTCAACCACACGCCGAGATTAGAAGGGGAACCTGTTTCCTATTCACATTAATCATTCTTAGGTGTCGGGGACATCTTGTTCAATAACGCGCAGAGTTTTGGTCGGAGTTATCGTGTTAATAATTAAATTTCCAGTAATTAAAGTTTGATACTTGACTTCACGTGCTTGTACTCGGATATCGCTACTCTTTGATGGAGGTGACCTTCGTGCAGGAGAAGGAGGACATATTTGAAAATATTCTTTAAAAAAGAGCATGTTGCATCACCATGTATATTGTATACTGAACGTAAAACAGTGACACTCGTAAAGAAGAGTACTGCCTATCAAGTCTGAACGCAGGCAAAGAGGATGGCACGAAAGAGAGTACCAAGGAAAGTAAACAATTTTGAGTTGGTTGGCTTCAAATACTATAGATTTCCACATAATCACGCTCAGAAAGTAAATGAGAAAAGTAGTCATCCTTAGAAGACACGTTTTTATAAGTCTCTTTGGACATCAATCTGAAAGATATCTGAGGGTTCACGAGACCGATATATTCGGTATGGTCAGCTGCCGGTATTATGTATAATATAATGTTATGACTTGAGATGGTAATAACAAAATGATCCTGCTCGATTGGTGACTTTCTTATAAACTGCCTCAAAGCCCATTTAAGTATGAACATTTACGTTTGTCACTGCATGGAGGGTCACGATTGAAGGTTTCATTTTTTATTGCGAGTTCGCCATGGTCGTTCGTCATTGCTGTTCTATCAAGTTGTCAATTCATCAGCAACATATCAACAAAATGGATATCACTTTTCATATTTTTTCTTCTCATTTTGACAGGAAGGCATAATTTCACCTTTATCCATATATTGATAGATTCTTGATTTCAAAGTCTAATATTGTAGTTCGTGAAACAGTTGACAGCGGTATACGAACCCGTTATGCATTTGAAGGAACATAAGGATTCCGATGAACATGTGATGACTTTTTTGTTTAATCCTATGTTTAAGTTTTTTTCTTCATAACTTGTTTAATCCTTTTCCATCCTTTCCTTGAACCTGCTTTCGCTTTGCCACCAGACGGGAACCAAGGATCACCATGCCAGCCGAGATAGTCAACCTACCGGTCATCAGTAACAAGATCCCCGCCCCATTGACGGGCAAGGAGTTCCTGACCTCCTCCCACTACAATATCGGGAACGACCGAAGACTCAGCAGGAGCGCAACCAAGAGAAGCACCTTCAAGAAGGACTATGTGGCACACCGGTTCTACGGAAGGGGGGCTCCAGCCGAGCCGCCAGCACCTGCTTCGGTCATGCACAAGGATCTGGTGGCAAAGTCAGCCGATACAACCGAGACACATGCATGTTACAAGGTATGGTTGACTTGTTATTATCTATAGGCCTATGTAAGATTACTGCTTTTCAGCTTCCTTGGACTTCAATTTAACAGACATATTTATGGATGGAGCCGAATGCAAATCGGCTCCAAAAATACCCAAAATACTTCAATCCTATATTCTTTTCCAAATGACTATTCATCATAATCTCTGTCTTTTTAATGAGTATTCTTTAATATTTGCGTTTTTGTTGTGTCGATTTGACCTATTTGTTAAAATATGAACTTAGTTTCAAGTTCAGATTGTTTCGTCAACATGATGAGCTGTGTTTGCATAATTATGATCTAAACGATGTCGATTGTATGTAGGACAAGCAATTAACATTAACTAATCACAGAAGTATCTCTTTACAAGGTTATCATATTGATAAGATGGCCATTAATGCGTAATTTTTCTCGATGCAGGGAACATTCCTTCCTCGGGTCAGCCAGTGCACCGCCCTCACGAAGACCAACTTTAAGATGGACTCTGATCACCGCGTCGAATCATTCCTGACGTCACACTCCCAACAGTTCCAGTCACCGAGAGGAATGACCCGATCTTTGCCGAATCCCGAACCGATGCGAAGCTACGTGCCACAGGGCGATAAAGAAAAGGAGCGGATGCCAGCTTCGGATTATCACGGAAATTTCCGAGGACATGACACGTCGGTTATCAAGGTGCCACGGGCACCAAATATGCACACAGGTATTAGAGCAGGCACTTTGTGAATTTCTTGTAAGCAAACAATTCGACAACCATCAATAATTATTATTCTTCATTTATTTTGACTTGGCAAATGAATGAACAAATAACGTGTTGCCATAATGTTTGATAAAGTATAATTGTATGTTTTCTTTTATTTAAGTTGGCAAACGAAGATGCATTTTTGAATTCATTTCATAATCATTTGAAAATGATTATATCAGTTACTTTCATACACTCTCTGTTAATTGTTCGCCGATAATGACAGGGGCATTTCCAAGTTCTTTGAGTGCAAGAATAGAGGCGTTGTCATTGTGATTTATTCTTCTGTTCGATTCTCAGGTGGTGACCCAACGATCCGCGGGGATGCTCGCACCCACGCGCCTTACGACACATCGTCCAAAGAACAGTTTCCAGGAAAATATCTCCCTTACGTCCGTGTCAAACCTGATGTAAGCATTGATCAGTAAAAGTGGTATATGCCTAGCTATTAACAAAGTCAAGTTTAGGAATCGATAACGGCCTTGAAACTTGTGTTTTGACAATATTCGGTTCCAATACTTGGAGTGGGAAAAATACTGTTATGAGTTTTGTTTGAACACTTGCACATCATGATTTCAAAAAATGAATCATAATCTTATTTTGATTGAAGATGATCATGAGCACATACGTATGTTATCCGTCGGTTTTTGTTTGTTGACGAGACAATTATATTTCGACAAAACCCAGTCATCGTACTTTATTCCTTTATGCGCACTATGGAAATGGGCAATTATGATTTATCATTTAAGATTACACATCTATACATATTTAGATCACACAAACAATGTCTTTATTCTGACTCATTAATCATAATCTTCGAATACCATTTTAGAAAGAAAAAATATGTTTCCTCTTCCCTGTCGTGGAGTATGTGGCGCCTCTTCGGACGACTTCATTTCGTAATATTTCTTCCTTTTGATATCCCCCTAGTTTGGATCGAGCATTCCAACGGGAGACACCGACAAGTTAGTCCATCGTGAGACGACGCAGCTGACGTCATACCCACGATTCAGCGGAGAGGTTTACAAGCCCTATAAGAGGGACGACGCCGTCACCAAGATACGAGATACGAACTTCAAGATGGGCCACAGCAAGAAGCACGACCAGTTCGGCACGACGGCTGCAGCATATTTCGACGCGAAAGTTCTTCCACGTGAGTATGCCAATACAGGTTTAGGAAGTGACTTGAGTTATGGTGAATGTTGGCAGACGTAAATGGAGATCATGACGATGAAAAGGATAAGATGAAGGCGCAGAAAAAGATAGTGATGGTGAAGAAGAGGAAAAAGAAGAAGAAGAAGAAGAAGAAGAAGAAGAAGAAGAAGAAGAAGAAGACCGTGGTATAGAATAACAAGCTTAATGGTGACGATGATGATGGTGGTTTTGATGGTAACGACGACGACGATGATGATGATGATGATGATGATGATGGTGTTGACAGTAAAGACGACGATGATGGTGAAGACAAGGACAACGAGTGTGCAAATATAAAAGTGGGGAAAAGAAGATGGAGGAGGACCACGAATACGAAAAGTAAATTATTTAAATTATGTTTGTTTTCGATTTATTTTCACAGCCTTTCAGAAGCATGTGCCATATGACAACAATGCTAGCAGTATTCCGTCGGGTGATTCGGACCCAGAGAGGATTCAGGATAGAACAACGACTACCAACTATTCCGTCTACCACCAACTTGTAAGTTTTAAAAAAAAATGTCATGTGTTGATACGTTCAATGAACTGTCATGTGACCATGCAAGAAACAACGGGTGCCGGATAAAATCTGTCTTACCCCAATCAAATGCACCAATGCGACCGACATTGGAACGATACAAAACCGAAGGAAAATTACCTTGTCCCCAAATGACCAATAATGATTGTTCGGTTTGGCGGTGTGACTGCAGGTATTAGACGCAATTTGGCACTTCAAGATGTACGCAAAAAATGCCGAATTTAATAATGAGCCAGATCAATTATTGATTGTTCTATTTTCGTTTGATAGACTTTCAAGATAAGTGCTTCATAAGTTATTGCCGAAATCTGAAACAAGATGTATAAGAAGTACCGAATTTTGCAATCTTTCAAACAAAATGTGTTGGTCCATTGAATCTTTATAATAAAGAAAATAATAAAACCTTCATAATAACTAACAAAGTTTTCCTCTATTGACTTTTTAGCCACCTTCAAACTTCCGCAACAAAATTATCTCGGGTGCCATGATGCGGACTGCAAGTGACGTGACATTCGGAGAACCTCGAAAACTTTCAACCTACTATTCGACAACACAATCGGATGATTATCCGGCGCTCGGCAAGTCGGCTTTTGCCGTCCGTGCTGATGGACATAAGGGCACATCAGTTCCACTTGATGTATACGGTGAGTTGAACTTGAAATTAAAGGCTTCGTAAGACATTCTATGGACAGAACATATATAAGTACTCTCAAAATTGCTATTTTCATGTCCTCACATTTTTCTTGTGAATCACTTCGGGAAAATTGTAATGCCTTATAGGAAAATCCATTTTGGCGGTCAAAGAATGTTATATTCCACATACTGCCAGTCAACATCTGTGTAGATAATCTTTCATTTCGTTTCATCATTTTGCTTATTTTGTTTTGATTTCGTCCTTCAGGTGACCTGCAGAATGTATCAACGACCAAGGATGATTTTCCTGCTCCTTTCGGAGAGGGCGCCACTCCAAACCGAGTACTCAACGAAGATCAAATCAACAAGGTAAGAAACCTTTCCTTTCCTACATGATTTGTATATTATACGACAGTTTTTTCGTCCGAAATACCGAGCATTGCATCTATTAAACGATGATGAAATGATGCAGGGTGTAGCTTTTAGAACCACAGTCGGCAAATTCTCACATTTTATATATTTACGTTTTATTTCTTGGTTTTCCAGCAAACTATGCCCCGGTTTCCCTTCCACCCAACTCTTCATGTTTTTTCTGGCGACGTCGGCGTTTTCCTTCTTTCTAATTTGAATTTAGAACGGGGAGGTTGAATTATATCGTTTATTTCTCTAACATTTCTTTGTTTCTCTTTCGATTTTGTTTAGCTCCGTGCCTCGCATTTCGATGCTCACATCGAGAAGAATCGCTACTTCAGCACGACACACCTCGATACCTACACGCCAAAACGAGTTACACCCTACCAATACGACAGCAACAAACTTCAAAAGAGCTCCGTACCGATTGGTACATTAAGTCAAAGTATGCCTAATTAGTTACGTCATGGATAGAGAGAAAATACGTCACAAAGATGAAAGAAATGTGATGATGACGTTGCACCGGCCGTTACGGGATCGCATCCCGCCAGAACTATCGTTTTTTCGCTTCCAATGTTTTCATGGAAATTGTAATTTGGCATTCAGGTTCAAGGTTTATAATGTTTCTGTTCTAACATTTCAAATTCACTTGTATTCTGAACTTGTCATTATTATGCAACCTAACTAAGCTACCCTGCGTGGTTTTATCTGCTTTCATTACCATACTTTTAAACTGGAGCATTATCATAATTATTTACAACCTTATTATATACATCATTATTATTTCGAGTGTTATTGCCGTTATTCTTATGATATGTACTCATGTTACTACATGTTGTAGCAATGTAACTGAAATAATGTCATAAACGAAGAGACCGAGGCTTTTATGGATTAAATGTAGTTTGAAATCACACAATACATTTGATTGTCTAGATTTCATACTATTAAAAGCAAAACTTCTTCGGATTTATCTTCTTCTATCTAATCGTAAAAGAAATATTTTATTTGTAAAGTTTTCAATATTTTAGTTTAATAAGTATAACGATAAGATAACGTCGACGGTGGGTATTATTTTGAATTTTGAATGTAATAAATGTGAGGCATGAGGCTGGTTTTCCTCTAAAATGACAGTATTTTTAGATGATGTTGGATGACTTTTTTTGTGTATTCTACTCTGGAAGTAGAAATAACCCAAATTGTTTTTGTTTAACGTTTTAATCTTGATGAATTATATAATGTACAAGTTTTGATACTATCATGTTACTGCAGAATTATTTTATGTTGCGATGCAAATGCCCAACTCAAGGCAAACTGCATTATGACTGAATTAGTTTTCATGAAGTGACGGTAGTGAGGAAAATCGTCACGCAAAGTGAATGCACTTTGTTTTCACTACCGTCACTTCGTGAAAACAGCGACGAATTATTAGTCTCATCTATTTCCATTTACATGTAATTGTTTACAATAAGGGTGAGTCTTAGATGTTCCATTCGTAATAAATAAAATGGAAGATTTAATTTCATGCAGTATGGGCATGCCCAAATAACTAGTAAAAGGATATCTTCAGTGTCAACTTTCTGACATAAAATCAACATTCATCTCGGACTTGCCAACAAGTGTACGTCTTATAATAATCTTTTATCTGTGATAACATGTTATTTGAATGAAGAATGTTTTTACTTTAATCATGTTTGAAAGGTCTATACCATGTTGGAGTGAAATATATTATATGTATCCATGATTGTATTCATGTTTTCATTAATAAACCAACGCTCATTAATGGAATGCCACAACATCACATTATTTCATTCGTGTCCACCTTTTTTGATCACTTGGAATGACATAATCATTACTAGGGTTCTTCTTAAAGTGGAACTAACAAAATATCTCGAGCGAAAGATAGGACGGAATTTTCATATCTTTGGTCGAAAATGGAGTTGAATACGGATCACTAGTTTTGAAAACTGGAACACCCATAAAGATCTCTACAGATAATTGTTGAAACGGTGACATTTTGAAAAGTGAAGGAAAAGGAAGCGACGCATTTGGTAGAGTAGAGGATGCACAGAGAAGAGAGACAGAGAGACATAGAGCAAAAGAGGCCAAGTGAGATGAAGATAGTAAAAAGGCATGTTTCTAGAGTCTGGTAGTTAGTTAAGGTCATGCATGTGATTTTTCTTCCTCCTCTCTTCGTCTTTCAATGTTTCCTTTGGATGTTCACTTTCCCCTATCTTGTGTTCTTGAATAGAGTATGCACCCCCATCTCTCTCTCTCTTTCTCTTTCTCAATATCTTTTCCTGTCACCAACATATCTTTCTATCACTCTTCCTGTCTTTATTTCTCTCACTTTCTGTGTATATATAAATATATATTCATAGTTATTTGCTTTACCTCTGACTTTCTCACACAAACATACACATGCCCCCCATGTCCATATATAAATGCAAGATTAATATCAAATACATGCACATGCACTAACATGCACTCTCCCTCTCTCTCTCTGTATCTCCTTCTCCCTCCTTCCCTCCCTCATATCTCTCTCTCTCTCTCCCTCTATCTCTCTTTTTTTCTCTCTTGTTAAGATTGTTATAGATTGGAACATATAGGCCTACTGCAAGCGCATAGCTAGGATTTTATTTTAGGGGGGGCGGTAGTGAGAACGCGAGTTCAGTTCCCCCCCCCCCTCTCCCACGCGGAAGCTTCAACGTTTCATTTAATTATTAAAGAAAGAAGACGATTCGTTGTAGGCCTACCGTTTTCGACTCAATCCTTGTCTGAATTTTCAAAATTGTTCCCTTGTCTGCTCCTTTTTCTTCCCTTTTTTTCTCTCTTCTCTCTCTCTCTCTCTCTCTCTCTCTCTCTCTCTTATCTGTAGGTCAGCACCTTCCATTCCCCCCTCCTTAACCGTTTACCCCGAGATATTGCACTTCTTTCATTCGACCCTATTTCTCCTTTATTAAACATCCTCTCTTCTTTATTTTTCCAAACTACATATACATTCAAAACGAACAAAGTATTTAAAACAAAAATGTCCCAATAAAGGTATTTCAATCAATATTTTATATACACAGAATACTGTATCAGTATTACATAGATTGGTAATCTCAACACAATACACTCTTAAAAACTACCAAACACTGTACCAGTCTTCGGGAACACATCTTTATGCATTGTCTTTATAAGATGTTGTTTTCTCCCCTCTTCAATAGGGACACTTAGGATTCTTTAATGAGGAAAGTGTGATGATATAGTCCACCTACCCATGTAGCAAGGAAACATGCCAACACTGATTCCAAGACACCTTTTCTGTTGCTCATAGGAATATGACTTGTTCTTTTTCATGTTTAGAATTAGGGTGAACTTAGTCAGACTTTTTTGAGGTCCAGATCAGTCTTGTATACACATGCTGCATTACAGACATAAGGACAGCAGATAGATATCATTCTTCCAAAGCATAATACATGTGTATTCCACATCTAAAATCTAACTACCTAGTCAATAAAGGGGACCAGTCACCTAAAATATTTCCCTCTAAATATTACTGGCTTCTAGCTGGTTTAATGTATATTCACAATATCATCAGAACCAAAGTTAATTTTCTAAAGAGAGACTGTAAACTCTGTAAACAGATATAAATTCTGTAAATAGAAATCATGAAATGTAGAATCCCTGATAATTGCCCCAGTCAACTTAGCTTGTATTTCATGCCTGTTTTCCGTTCTATCATTTGGCTTCTGCGCTTGGAGGTGTAAGACCATCCATACGCACTCTTCAGCTAATAACCTGTTAATTGAAAGGAACAAATTAGGGTGGGGTTTTGATTTTATACATACAGAGGGTTCAGTGACGCAAAGACGTAACTCCATATTTTGCCAAAATGAGTATTTGATATCAAACTGTTATTGAAGTCAATGGCTAGTGAAACATAGACTTAACTCATTAAGGCTAAAGTGCTCAGTGACACATAAACCACTTTTTCTCAAAATTGACAAAATGGAGTTACGTCTTTGTATCACTGAACCCTCGATATTATCTGTACCCATCAATTTTCAGTGACTGGTCCCCTCGTAAGAATAAAACAAATGTTTATGATCCAGTAAAGGTGTTGAAGCCCATGACTAGCTTATTCCTCTCCTTGGAGGGCTCCAGGTAGTAGAGGTCGAGGAGACCTGGTTCAAACCATCTCTTGGAGTTGAAGACGCCTTCACCGACCGTCCAGCCTGGTACATCTTTCATGATCTCCTCCTCCTGCTCCCTGTTGTACTGTAGCCTCAGAAGCATCCTAGGAAGGAAGTAAAAAGTTGTGATGAGCCCCTTGATCAACATGTAAGACCATTCACCAATGATTCTCAAACTCGGTTACTTACAGACTGTGAAGAATAGTTAATTATAATCAAACAACAACTTTTTGTCTGTTTTTAATATAATTGGTACTCTTGATGATTATCCTATCATACTGTACATTTAATTTAAAGGTAAAGACCAGTTATGGTCATGCGATTGCATTGAGAAAAAAACGTTGTGGAATCGATCAGAAAAGGTTGATTATCTAGCATCTAGCATCTGCAAGGTTCTGGAATCATCAAAATGATAAGAAATTTGGCCCATTCTTCGTAAAGTTACAAGCACTATACACAGAAAGATGTATATGGGACTACCCTATATCTCTCACAGTCCATGAGAGAAACAAAGTTACCAAATATATGAATTAGTAGGCGGTTTCCCGGCAAATTTTGTATCATCATGTATTAGTCAAAACATATTCTTTCACATGATTGGTAATGAGAGCTTCCATTTCATTTTTTGAAATTGGGGCGTTTCCAATACTGGTCTTTACCTTTAAGTTTACCCAAGAAATATGAAATTTTCAGCATCACAAAAAACATATCACTGTAAATGTACAACAAATCACTAATTATAACATCATGAGATTATTTGCACATTTTTTTCCTTTCATGACGTACTGTTTATCTCCGTGTATAAGATGCACCCTTATTTTTTTTGTTGCTTTTTTGCAGACACCGTAGTACGTTAGAAAACCTTTATTGTGCTACAGAAAAAGTGTGTCTTATACACAGAGATTTACGGTAATGTACATACAGGTTTTATGCTAAATATTACTTTGATCTGATGATTCTCTTTAATTGACTGGTAATTGATGGGGAATTTTTTCCTCATTGGCTCCTAGGAGGCATGAGCTCGTCTATCCTCTTCTCTAGGGTTCAAAGCATCTTTTCTCTTAATAGACATCACTTTTAAAGTAACTAGACCAATGATTTTGAGGTTGAATTCATATACTATTCAAACCCCAGGCACTTCTATGAGCTGATGATTCAACAATATCAACATCAATCTAGTTAAGAACGGAAAGGAGACTACTATATTAGCTGATATCTTTGCGAATACCATAGATATTTTCGCCAAAAACAGTCCAAGAGCATTTTCGTGATTCATTTCTTTCGCGAATCACAAACTTTCGATCAGCTAGCACACAGCAGAATTAATGAATGGGCATGATGTATTCACAAACTTTTAACATCAATCTATTCAAGAATGGAAAAGAGACTACTTCAAACAGATATATTTATTTATAAGTATATAATTTTTACTAGTCATGAGTAAAGTCATAATTTGACCCCCCCCCCCAAAAAAAAGAAGAAATTACTAAATGTAAAAACTTACTCTCTGTCCTTTTCTGCACAAATGAGAGGCATAATTCCCAGTATGGATTCACGATCTTCTTGGATCCATTTCCTGTAAAGAAGTGAAGCCAACATGTTAAAATCAAGAAGCAAAATGGAAGTATGTGCATTTTATTTACAGGATCTGGAACAAATGTTATATAGACAGCTAATGGAGATGTACCTACATATCTGTCACTGACCTTCCCCTCCCTCCTGTATTTAAATAAAACCTAAATTTAAGGTAGCTTTGCTGAATCTTAGAATGTTTAAGTCAAGAAAACATGAAAATCTAACCAACCGATATTCATTATTCCAAAAACAAACTAAAGATATATTCTACATTGCTAACAACTAGCCACTACCCCAGTCTTTCCAGGGTAAATTATGATCACATATTCAAGAGTTTTTCAGTCTCATCAGCGCCTTTGATTAGGCAACTAGATATTGGCACTCTACATGTTCCTGGATTGGATTGGATTATTCTCTTATCTCGATTTCTACTCACCCTGGCAGGCATACACCTCCCAGCCAGATCCCAGAAACGGTAGATGAAAGATAATGGATAATTGGACATATGCCATTCTTTGTTAAAAAGAAGTAGATGTATTTGCCCTGCATTTCACTTCACTACCTACATGTGACCAAAAACCACTAGCCAGAATGCCACAAAATCATTAGAGGTGGCGCGATAGCTCAGTCGGTAGAGCAGTGGTCTTGTAATCCGGTGACCCGGGTTCGAAACCAAGGCAATGCACTAGTACCCTTTGGTAAGGCATTAATCCTCACTACCAGGTCCCTCAGAGAGGACCTAAAGCCGTCGGCCATCTGGCTGCTTACTTACAAGCATTTTATGCTTTCTTAGCAGTCAGGTAAAATCACCACCACCATTCATTCATTCATTTTTATATTATCTAACCTAAAACAGTAAAAATGTCAACTGATGCATATTGCCAACTTGCACAACTGATTTGTTCCTCTAATTTCACCCTCTGTAACATGGCATGGCCATATTTCAATTTAGACCACATGTAGATGAATTCCGCATGTAACTCACCTCTTTTGTTTATTGCTCATCGCCAGGGTGACCATGCCAAAGGTCATTATTCCAGCCATACCAGCAAACATCGTGTATCCTACAATATCAAAGACAAACAAATATAAATCAACTATCTCTTTCTGTTGTTGTCCCCCAGTTTTTCGGAGATCAGCGAGTTATTCGCATTTGAAGTAGTATAGGCTGCTGTAAATATGTTATAAAATCCTTAGTAAAAAAAAAGTGTTTGAGGTAGATTTCCTGAATGATTGAACACAGAATACACCAAAAATATAGGATACAGCCATTTAGATTACAAAGAAGACAATGTCATGTAATCATAAAATATTGAGTGCACGGACTGTACTTCTTTGAATATGAGCCTTGTATACAATCAGTTTTAAATCGCTACAGGCAACGGTATACTTATAAAAATGTAACAAAAGTATGGTTTGAGAACTTTGAGTTCATATAGACTACACTTGATAGAACAAATGAAATCATTACAAAAGAACTTAAAATGGCTTTTTTTTGTGTGTGTTTTGAGCTTCCTTTCTTTCTTCTTTATTCCAACTTATTTCCTTGTTCTCTTTCTTTTCTTTTTTGTATTTTATATTTTTTCATCTTAGAATATGGAACTTTTTTGTAATTTCTCTCTTCTCCCTTTTCTTTTTTCTTCCCCCCCCCCCTTTCAATCCAAGTAAGAGTCTAGCTCTTATAATTGTTTCCTTATCTTTATTCTCCTCATCCCAAACCCATCTTCCTCTTTCCCTTCCATTTAACATTTATTTCCTCTTCCTCTCTTTTCTCCATGTTTACTTTTCTTTCCTTCTTTCATGTTATTTCCTTCACTTCATTCAGTCTTCATTTCATTTTTGCTAATTTTTCTCTTGAGACTTTATCTTTCCATTTTCTTTCTTTCATTTTAGTCGAGAGTCTAGGACCAATTCCTTTCATTATTTTTGTTTTCCTTTCCTTTCCCATTTTTTTTCTTTTTAATCCTCTCTAGCTCTCGGCTCCCTTCTCCTTTTACTTTTATTCCTTCCTCTTCTGCATGCCAAGTCATATCATATGTCTCACCAGTATCTTAGTAAACCTAGTGTTTGTTATTATTTTTTTAAATCTATTTTCCACCGAATTCGTAGAGTTCAAAGAAACGTAGACCTACCTGTAGCTGTCCTGAGCTTAGACCGAAAGCTTCAGTCTCTATACCGTCGGTTGTTCCACTGAGACTACGTCTGGCTCCACTAGACCTCCGGTTATAGAGACTGAACGATCGCCTATGCCAGCCTATGTTGAAGATATCACGGCTAGATTTTAGCCGTTAGGCCCCTCCCACAAACATGAACAAACTTGCCACGGCCGTATTGTTATGCCCCCAAAATCCCCCAAAATGTCACTTTACCTCGTGCATATCCAATTTTACATTAGGCCTAGGCTATAATACATCGGTTCCACTTACTAACTTGATTGAAATAATCCGTTTAATGGTCCCTTTTAAGGAAATTATGGGTCAAAATCGACATCCATGTTGAAAATCTTGCAAGCCGTGTTAAACTCTCGCTGCCGTCAATCTCATCCCTTCTAGTCTACGCCGAAGGCAAAATGATTATGAAGGAAAATCTGGGCGCCATATACACGTTCGTAATGGCGTTATCACAGTTTTTCCTTCATAATCATTTTTGCCTTCGGCGTAGACTAGAAGGGATGAGATTGACGGCAGCGAGAGTTTAACACGGCTTGCAAGATTTTCAACATGGATGTCGATTTTGACCCATAATTTCCTTAAAAGGGACCATTAAACGGATTATTTCAATCAAGTTAGTAAGTGGAACCGATGTATTATAGCCTAGAGTAAAGGAGCCCGTAATCGGCCAGCTCCAGTTTTCGGCCGATTGGTTGGATGCAAGGTAAAATCACTCTAAAATACATCACATAATAGCATTACACATATCCCACACATACCATACCATGCCAGTGTCACTGAAGAACCACATTTGCAATGGAAAATATATCCTAAAATATCACATTTTAGCGATGTAATCGCCGGTCCCGCTACCCAAATCTGAAAAATCGAGTATCTTACGCGTGTCTGTAAGAAATATGGGTACCATAAAATGAGCTTTATTTCAAGTATTTTTCAGATTTAAAGCCCGATTTTGTGCTAGTCGCAAGCTCAAAAGTATCTCATCGCATGTATTAAATCAATGCAGCCGCACACCGCGACGCACACACGATATGTCTGTCTAATTCAGATTCCAACTTCCGATCACCGCTGTGCCTGTCTTCGGCCAGGCGAGCACCAGGGAGCTCCGGCGTGGGATACCTGTTCCGCCCGCTTGTGCTGTACATCAGCGCGGAAACGCACGGCGCGCGCGAGCGCTTCCTATTGACTTTGTACATGCGGCCGTAAACTGAAACGCTCGGCCGATAACGGGCTCCAAAACAGTGAAAATTGAAATGAATATTGTCATGGCAATTCGTGATTTTTTTCTGGGATTCTTTTTTTGTTTAAATAATAATAATATTTGCTTCATGATTTGAACAAGAAATGTTAATAAATAGGAAGTAAAGAGTCCTAAAAATAGGATTTTGTCTTAAGTGGCCGAAAACGGGCTCCTTTACTCTAGGCCTAATGTAAAATTGGATATGCACGAGGTAAAACGGCATAGGCATAGGCGATCGTTCAGTCTCTATAAGTATAACCGGAGGTCTAGTGGAACCAGACGTAGTCTCAGTGGAACAACCGACGGTATAGAGACTGAAGCTTTCAGTCTATCCTGAGCTGAGCCCCTGAGCCGAGGAGCTCTACGAATAAGGCACACGCGAGAAACAATACATGGGACCGTTAAAAAGTTAATCTGATTTGTGTAGAATGGGTATACAAAGATAAGGCTCATAAATCAAGATTGCAGTAACATAAATATTTGAAAGTACATTGAAACGAAAAAATATAATTTTACTTACCTGAATAGCCTCGTTTGGGCAACATCCGTTTGTAATCTATGTTGCTATAGCCGCCTTTCGGCGGCATGTCTTGCTTGAAAGTTGTCGCCATTTTGGCCTCAATAAGTCGGTGAAATTAGACACAAAAATTTAGTCTGCGGGAGGAGGCGGGTGGTATCTTTGACGAAGCAAATCGAATATTACTTCCAATCACCGGCACAAAGAGGTTAGGGATTACGGTTAGGTTTCCATTTCAAGGGCTTCACTTATTTAAACAAAAATAACTTCCTCAACTTCTCACTCTCAAAGACTTTCCTTTCGAGTGAAAATGACATTAAACACCGCTGTGCACTTGACGAGTGCTGGTTGAGTAATAGTCCGATATTTTCTAAGGTAATTTCATGTCTAAAATCATAACAATTGAAAAGGAAAACTACCTATCAAAAGACAGTCAACGCAAATGCTCAGGATTTATACATTTATCCGAGGAATAATAGGCATGCAGTATTATCGAAAATAATACCTGAAACGGGTCTACGATATAATTACTACGTCTTATTTTCAAACTGTCCCTGTATAGGCAGGAAGCAGCAGGCAATCGCCATACATTTCAGTAGCGAGATTGTTTTTCATGTTCTTAGTTTTTCATTTTCATACAGGGGCTGTATAAAAACAAATTTACAATAATGATATTTAGGGTGAATATATGATTGAAAATTTCTGGCTTAGGGGAAAATATAGATTTTTAAAATGTTTTTTAGTCACAGTGTAAAAGGGAGGGAAACTCACCAGATATAGGTCACAGAGTTGGCATTTTATGTTTGATTGATTGCACCTTCAAAAATTATTTACTCTCTTATTTTTAATTGGTTGTTGCTCGAACTTTAACTGGCCCGTTACTCTCATTTGTCCTGCTTCTATTACTGAACCAGACTTCCCTTCCAATGTTGATTTATCATATTTGGAGTTTTGCTATCCGAACTTAGCACCTATAATTGAAGAGCGCCATCTACAATATTACTTGAAAACCAATGAAAACTTGTAATTTTAAAAAGAAAACGTAGTCCAACATTTTAATTACTATCTTATAGATTTAATAATATACACTGATGCGGAATTGTAAGTTCAACTTTTAAAGTGTATTCTCACCTTTCCAGTAAAGATAACTATATGGTAAGAGATACATGAATACTTGAATTATGAGATCACTGACTTAAAGTCTATGTGACAATCTCAACTCAGGAGATTCTCTACACTGACAAATCCCCCGTTTGTCGTGTACAACAAATATTAATTTTTGTTCACCTTCTCCCTCGGGGCACTACTCAACTATAGCAATCATCAGGTGTAGATCCAACCGCGGCGGCAGGGGAGGGGGTCGAATTCGTGAGAAAATAAGTGGGGGGGGGGGTAGTGAGCACTAATTTTTTGTTTGGCCCTCAAAAAATCGCACCCCCCCCCCCTTTTTGAGCGCCAGGAGAGGAGGCCCATCTCCCCCCAAAAAGTACGTGTTTTACACGTTTTTTCCCCTGGGGTGGGGGTCCGCCCCCCCCCCCCCCCTGGATCCGCCACTGGCAATCATAGCATTATATTATAGGTCCTATAAAAAGTTTCATTTAAGTTTGTTCGAAAGGCCGTTGTTCACTGCTCCCGAAGGTTGCATTTTTGTTTCATTACTATTTAATTATAAGTTCAAAATTATAGAGCAAAGAGGCCTTGCCTTTTGGAGGGGGGAAAAATTGCAATAGTTTGTATTATCTCCGCTACGCTTCTAAAGGAATCTTGATTCGCGGTTTACAAGCCCCCCCCCCCCCCCCCCCCCCCCCCCGTTCTGACAACTTTGGTTTTTATATAGGCTTAGGGTGAATTCCAGATAAACAATGGAAGATTCTCATGCCTTAGTTTCGATTATCATACATATTGTTACTCAGTAAGAGTCAGTAAAGGAAGGGCCGGGGCATTCATCAGGTGGCAATAATTATTGTTCCCTTATTCGATACTCGGGAACTTTGTCTTTGGCGTTAGAAATGGATCAAACAACCGCCATGAAAATACTAATAAAATAATTGCTGTACCGACTGGCATCATTAAAGAATAAAAGAATTAGTTTGCTGCATAGTTTGCTTTTTTTCAAAGAAAAACCAGCGACACAATAATTATTACTTGCCTGTGAAATAACTAGGCTTCGTGCCCCTTTTCACCAATATATTCCCAATGTTCTCCTTTGTGCTAATAGGAGCCGTGTTCTTTTTAAGAAACACTAAAATGTCTCCTCTTTTTATTTCATTTTTATTTTAACAGCCATAAACATTGCTACTTTTCTAATAAACATCGTTTAACAATGTTTCCAGTTCTACAAATCTGAGATGCATGGCCCTATATGTGTAATCAGCGTCTGTGATTATGTTGTATAATATTGAAGCCCTAAAAAAAAGCGCTTCAAAATGGTCATGAAGTGCTTAAAAAAGTAAAAAATATTTGAGTGACGGGCTGTACCAAACTCATTTTCCGCTATAGATTGTACATCACTGTAGAGTTATAAACAACGTTGGGGAAACGGTTTTTGAAATTTCGAATTCCAATCATAGATATCTTGATAATCAGACAGGCGATCGGCTTGTAAAAGGCATGGGATTCCTGACTGACCTAAAGGTTTTAAATTATGATTGCAGTCGCATGAGCTAGGATTTTGTTTAGAATCTGAGGCAAAGATACCCAATTCTTTATGTGTCCGTGCCAAGGGTGTCGATTTGTATCCGTGGTTGGGGGGGGATGATAGGTGCCAAAATAGTTTCGGCAATGGATTAAAGCAATCAAGAGGTAGAAGCGTGTGGCAAGTTGCACCCCTCCCAAGCGCGTAGCCAGGATTTCATTTTAGGGGGCGGTAGTGAGCACGCGAAGCGCGGTCCCTAGGGGGTTGCGTGCAGGGAGGGGGAGTCCCCCCCCCCCCGCGAAGCGCGGACGCTTTGACGTTTCACTAAATTATTAGAGAAAGAAGACGATTCGTTGGACCGTTCTCGACTCTTAATCCTTGTGTGAATCAAGTTCCCCTTCCTCCGCGCATAGCGCGGAAGCTCTGACGTTTCATTAGATTATTAAAGACAGAAGACGATTCGATGTACCATTCTCAACTCTTAATCCTTGCTTGAATCAAGTTCCTCTTCCTCCGCGCATAGCGCGGAAGCTCTGACGTTTCATTAGATTATTAAAGAAAGAAGACGATTCGATGTACCATTCTCGACTCTTAATCCTTAATGTTTGAATCAAGTTCCCCTTCCCCTTCTGACGTTTCATTAGATTATTAAAGAAATAAGACGATCCTATGTACCATTCTCGACTCTTCATCCTTAATGTTTGAATCAAGTTCCCCTTCCCCTTCTGACGTTTCATTAGATTATTAAAGAAAGAAGACGATCCTATGTACCATTCTCGTCTCTTAATCCTTGTCTGAATTCATTTTCGCCCATTCCTGCGCGAAGCGCGGAAGCTTTCACATTAGTGAAAGAAAACGATTTATTGTATCGTGTCCTTCATGAACTCAGTTTCCCCCCTACCACGCGAAGCGCGGAAGCTTTAACGTTTAATAAATGATTACTCTTAATCCTTGTCTGTATTCATTTTCGCCCATTCCGCGCTTAGCGCGGAAGCTTTCACGTTTTATTAAATTATTCGTAAAAGAAGACGCTTCGTTGTATCGTGTACTTTGACGTTTCATTTGATTATTACGCTTAATCCACGTCTGAATTCAGTTGCCCCCTAACAGCTTTGCCCTTTTTACTGAATTATTAGAGAAAGAAGACCATTCGTTGTACTGTTCTCTATATTAATCCTTGTCTGAATTCAGTTTCCCCACTGAAAATAATTTGTGTTACAAATAAGTTGTGACATAATAATCTTTCTCCAAAAATGAAAAATCTTTTAGGAAATATCAGGAAATAAAATGAGTGAAAAAAAGCAAAAATAAAGATACAATGACGTGAATTTTAAAAAGGGTGAACGGAAACAACATAACAACTAAAGAACTATTTTATAAGTCATACTAACGTCCGAAAATCTTTCTCCTTGTCTCTGATCTCATCACGAAATCGTCACAGAGTTCATCTATGTTTACACTGTCCAGGATTGTCTGATGTGCATTGCAGATTGCTATTTTTGCGCTTCGCGCTTAACATTTAGCCCCGCCCCCCCCCCCCCCCCACTCAGAGGTCGGAATGACCGCATGCGTGTTGCCAAAATGTCCGGTAAAGGGGTACTTTTCGTGCGACAAAGTCCGGCCCGAGAATTGTAAAAAAAGGGGTGTATTTGACTTTTCACCCGGAGATTTCTTTAAAAAGGGGGTGTTTTTCTTTTTTTTCTCTCATCTCTTTGGACTCCTGAGAAATTATTCCGAATTAAGGGGGGTACATTGAGCATTTTTCCTGATTTAGGGGGGTCTCCAAGGCAGGAAAAGCACGCGAAAAGCCCGCGAAAGGGGGGTTCGGAAATGTTGGCAGTCCTCAGATAGGGGGTGCTTTCAAAAAAAGGGTACGAGCATATGCGTACCCTAAATAACACTGAGTGGGGGGGGGGCCGGGCATTTAGCTCGTTGCTTTTTGACGCTGCGTCTTTGCATTTGGCGCACTGCATTCTATGATGCTATTGATTGAACAAATTGAATAAATTCATCAATTCCTGATGAAGCCGTATGAGCGAGAATTAAATTTATTCTTGTCTCATATACGGTTGTCTTATTTACTTCGTTTATATGTATGTATTATGAAAATGAGATAGCAACATGTGTATATTGATGGTCATCTTGCGAGTAATAACCATTAACTACTCTCATCGGGCTCTCATCCTTAATTTTTCTCTTCATTTTTTTTTTTTGATGGTGAATTATTGGGGGGGATGATTGTACAGGCCATCCCCCCCCCACCTGAAATATTGGGGGAATATATCCCCCCCCCCCCCCCCCCCCCGGGATCGACACCCATGGTCCGTGCCTTTACATTCTTTAAAAAATGTCAGTTAAAACTAGGAAAATGTGCCCAGTTAAATCCAATGGGAACATATATTCTGACCATAATTATGCAATCGATAATAATTGTAATATACCTCGAAGCTAAACGAAAATGGCCATTAACAATCCATGATGACAGTGTCTTTTTCTGC